AAGTGGTGAGAAAATGATTCATTACAAGATTTATGTTAACATGCTGCTGCTCTTGAGATAATAGAGTCTCACCCTAAGCAGTAACTATTTCACCTTCATCTGCATAATTAGATGTTATTGAGCTAAACTTGGTTTTGTGGTTGTGCTTATTTTGTATTTTTTGCTACTTTACCGTTTTATGAAAATGGAAGGCAAAAGGGGGTCATCTCAAGTTTATGTTCATATTTAAGTCTTGTGTGAAAAGGTTTTCCTTTTAAATAATTTTATATTTTAAAATAATATTTTAGAAACAGTTGTGTAATTGAAAGATCATGAACCTTGGAAGTAAAGAGATTCTCAAGTTCTGATTTTGTGGCACCATAATTGAGATAAGTTAACTTCTCTGTGCCTGCTTTTATTATCTGAGAATGATCACAGGAACTTTGTTGTTAAAATAGGTAACAGATGAAACCACGTGCAGTCAGTATAGGCTTGTTTTCCTCCTTCCTTTTTTCTCTCTATTCTGAATCTACATTTCACCTTCTAACCTTTTCAATAGCAACCCACCAGGAAAGAGCATGGCCCATCGATTGGCAGCACAGTGCATTTTTGGTCCATTTAGCCCTAGTGGAAATTACCTGAGAGAGGGAGTGGAAGATACGGCTAATGCACTGGAATTATTTATAAAAGTAAATTACTCATGCTGTTTCTAGTCCCCCAAAGCACAGGTAATCAGGATGTACTTAACACCTGTCTCCTTAGGCTGAGTTGGAAGCAATCTAAGGATAAAAGTCTCTTTTAGACTTTTTTCTTCAAATTAACATCTGCCTTGAATTTTTAATACTAAGTAATTAGCAATAAAGCAAACTTCTATACCTGTTACTAACAGATTTGAAATTATCTTTTTGATTAAAGTTGATGTGAAATAAAAACCTTTCAACTTTGGAATACAATGGTTTAAACAGTTTATATACTTTTCACACCTACAGAAACAGAATAGCAAGTAATAGATAATAAAAGGGCTGACACTATCAATTCTTTTAACTCTTTGGAGGAAAAATCTCTAGCATGAAATCTTCACTTATAAAATTTTACTGTGAGACTTCATTGTTACATGACAAAATCCTGCATGGTTACATGTAACATGACAAAAAGACTGCATGGTTACATGACAAAATCCTAACAGTAAGAGAATGAGTATGAGTTAATCTATCATCTCATTCTAGTTAGTTTGATAATCCATACAGTGTGGTAATGATTTAATACCATGGTCTGGTCCATCTTTAACTTTTATGATTCCTTATACTCATTTATTTAGCAGATAATCTTTGCGATCAATGCATTAATAGGTTATGAGCTCTAAAGAGATGCACTCAGCGATTTATAATCTACTAGAACTAAGACTTGTGTTCAGTTACTACACTTCTGGATTTTTTTTTTTTTGGATGCCCATTTGAGGGGAATGGGAATAGAGAAGGACCCAGAGGTGGTGACTTTTGAGCAGAATCTTGAGGAATGGGTACTGTTGGTAGGATGGTGTAGTGACTATTCCACATAGACGAGCATGAGCAAAACATGAAGAGGGCTGTGTTCAGGAGTGGCAACTGCTGCAGATTGGGTGGAGTAGAGATCCTTCATAAAGGCAGTTAGCTTAAGAGAGGCTGTAACTTCTCTAAGTGAGTGATTAGAGAGCTTAGAATGCCAAAATGTTTACCTAGGGTAGCACTGTGCACTAGACCAAATGTAGAATGGAACAAGAGTGAACCTTGAGTTTAAAAGAACTTTAGATGCTTAATGACCATCAACAGAGCTCATCCTATAACCTGCTTAAGAAAAGTTGTGAAGAATTGTATGTTTTCTAATCCCACTGAAGAAAACGCTGATCCTTAATTAACAAGAAAAGAGACAGCTTCTGCCTACCATTCTGTCATAGATTTAGGGATTAGTAACCATATTTCACTAGATCCTTAGACCTAATTGGCAATCTGTTCTCTACAATGGATTTAAATATACCACTTCTTGCTCTGACCCATGCATGACAAGTATAAGAATCTTGCCAATGCAAAATAATATGAATGTTTTCTCAGCTCCAGGTACAAAGCAGTAAGTATACCCAACTCAGTTTGTTATAACAGCTAGGAGTATGGTTCTTCAGCCACACAGTGTGAGTCTAAATTCTGCCTCCACCCCTTTCTAGTTGTATGACTTTGAACAAATTATTCAAGTTTCCTGTCTAGAGTTGAGAATAAATACGGAGTTGGTATGGGAGGAATTTTAGATAATGTGGATATTTTTTCTTGATGCAAACAACAAAAAGTGACAGCTTCTTAAGCCAGTTGCAATGTGGAATCTGAAACCAAAAGTTCTACCTTGTAATATTAAAATCACCCGTCTTTCCTGTAATTAGAATGGCTATTTTACCCATCCATGATTTTTTAACGTGACACATTGGTCACTGAAAAATACCATTCACTGAATTACACGGATCTTCAAAATGCTAATACATTTCATACAACAATATTTTTAAAAACCCATGTTAATTTTGCCACCAGTGTTATTAAAAAAGTCTTTAGTAATTGAATTGATCTCAGACTCACAATGAGGAATACAAGGTTGCCAATATTCTAATTTTCATTTCAAAGCTACAATTATTTGCAACATGTATGTTAGGTTCTCCTGATAGGCTCACTGTTCATTTTGAGAAATGTCTAACAAATACCATAAACTTAATAAACAGTTTGTCTTAAGTTATCTTTTCAAGTAAAAATGGAATTCCATGAAAAAAGTTTCTTCACCCAACTGAAATAATTGAATTTCTGAAAAATAACCATCATGTTTTGATATGCAATGTAAGTGCTTTACACATAATTCACATTTAATCACTGAGATTACCAGACCTGTACTCAGGAAGTTGATACATAAAATCTCTTTACAGCTTCATTAAATACACTCAGGTTAAGATGCCGTTTTACAAATTCAAACGCATGGCAGTGACTGCAGCTGGCACTACCCATACCCCGTCGCCTTGACTTAAAGTGACAGCAGTTTCACTGCCATTTTGCACCATTCATGCAAACATGGAACATGGGAACAGGTTCTTTCTTCATTTTGCATGTGACTCTCTTAACTCTGTACATTGCAAGGGCTTCCCTGGTAGCTCAGCTGGTAAAGAATCTGCCTGCAATGCAGGAAACACGGGTTTGATCCTTGGGTTGAAAAGATCCCCTGGAGGAGGGCATGGCAATCCACTTGCGTATTCTTGCCTGGAGAATCCCCATGGACAGAGGAGCTTAGCGGGCGACAGTCCATGGGGTTGCAGAGTCGAGCACCACTGAGCGACTAAACACAGTACGTTGCACATTATTTCTCTGAATCTGTGGTTTTTGTTTTCCTGTCTTTTGAAGAGATTTTCAGTTTAATGTTTCTTTTTTTTTTACAGCTTGTTGTTTGTCCTAGGAAATCTTTGCCTAATCTGTGACCACTAAAATTGTCTTCTAGAAGTGTTGTGACTGTTACTTTTAGGTCTATGCCTCATTTTTAGTTATTTTTCATGTATGTTGTAAAGCGTCAGTGCTCGTTTTCCATATATGTCAGCTCCATCGGTTGAAAAAATCGGAAAATGACTTATTTTTTATAGATGTTAGATTGTTTGCTAATATTTTCAGGATTTTTGTTCATGAGGACTGCTGTCCTGTAATTTTCTTGTAATGTCTTGGTCTAGTTCTAATATCAGAACAAGGCTGACCTCATGAAATAAGTTGAAAATATTTCTTCCCCCTCCATTTTCTGAAAAATTTTGTGTAATGATGACTGGTGTTATTTATTCCTTGAATGGAAACATTTATAAGAGTAACTATATGGGATTAGAGTTTTCTTTGTGGGAAGATAATAACTTCAACTGTATTCATAGTATTTAAGGCTATTCAGATTTTGTCTCTTCTTGTGTCAATTCGTGCTTTTTATTTTCCTAATTTTCCCATTTTGTCCTATGTTGTCAAGTTTACTGACATAAAAATGGTCGTAATTTGTTTCCTTAATTAAGATTCATAGTGGCGACTCCTGGTATTAGTGATTGGCAGTTTCTCTGGTTTATTTGATTGGTCTAATTAGAGATCTACTGATTCTATTGCTCTTTGGAGAATCAAATGTTGATTTCATCAATTTTCTCTTATAAATTGTTGATTTTTATCCTCTATTATTTCCATCTTTCCATTTAATTTGGGTTTGCTTTATTGTTATTTATCTAGAATAAAGATTAAGGTAGGTGATAAAGAATATCTACCAAAAGCCTGTAACTAAGATTATATTCAGTGGTGAAACACTGAAAAGCTTTCTTCCTAATTCTGAGAAAAAGACAAATATGCCCGCTTGCATCACTCTTACATACAACGTGGAGTTGAAAGTTCAAGCCAGTGTAATAAGGCAGGGGAATAAAAAAGATAACAATTAAAAAAGAAGCAACTTCCTTAATTTGCAAATGACATGACTGTGGGAGTGTTGGCCTGTTAAATTACTCTACCATATATTGTAGAAGAGGGATTCTCTCATCTTTGCTTTAGAATTTGCTGTTAACGTACCTCAAACGCCAACAAAAATGCAAGGAATCCTTTCTTCGAGTGTTGGAGGTTTTCCCCTAAGTTTCACATGGTATATATTAGTCATCCAGACATCTCGTAAATTTACTATGTATAACAAATGCAGATGTTCAAGCTCTCAGAGAGGTAGTGTGTAAATAGGTTCTGGAGACGAACAGTAAGATCTGTATTTTGCTAGTCACTAACTATTAACACCGTGGGCAAGTTTCTTAACCTCGCGGCTCAATTGAGTTTCCTCAGTTATATAGTGCTAATGATAATAGTATTTACCTCCCTGGACTATTATGAGAACTAAGTGTGAAAACATGAATGAATACAGTGTCTGATGTATAGAAAAAGCTCAAATTCTAGTTACTCATATTACTGTGAAACAAATGTTCCCATTCCCCTTCATGTGTTCCCTCTAATTAAAGAATAATGACAACATTACTCACAAAAGTTTAATACATTAGAGAATTTCCATCAAAAACCAAGATTATATACATAGACAAAAGTTGCAAAAGCAAACAAATAGAAAATTTGTTGGCAGAGGAAAGAAAATTAGCACATATGGTAAAATAGTCAATCCTACAAATTACTTACAAAATTATAATATAGAAATTAAATATCATTTTATAACTAGTAAATTAGAAGCATTATAATTAACAGCCACTGCTGACCAGGTTGGAGTCAACAGGTATACTATATTGACGACAGTGTGAATTAATTCTTTTTGGCAAACAATTTGCAATACATTTGGAAAGAAATCTCATGAAACTGATGGGCTACAGTTCATGGGGTCACAACAGTTGGACACAACTTAGTGACTAAACCACCACCACCATCCTTACGACTACTGTATACAATACTGGGCTTCCCTGTAACTCAGCATCTATAGCTTTGTCTCCTCCTCCAACAGAAGACAGAACGAATTCCATATTCAATCTTTCCAATGTGCCCCACGGTATCAGTTACCTGGGTGTTACCTGACATCCTCAGCTATGTATGAGGATGAAGGATGAGAAAATATTAAACCCAAGGCCAGGAAGTCTGAGCCTATACTAGGAAAAGAATACCAAAAACTCAAGCAGTAAGAAGAAATGTGGGGCCAAAATAACATGCCTGAGGTCAGGTTAAACCATGTCAGAACTTTCAAGATGTGGAGTTTGGAAGACATGGTTCTAGGGATATACTGAGAGGTACTAAGAATCTTATCAATGGTATTCTTATGCTGTTTGTTAGCGCCATCTTTTGAAATCTTAAAAGGAAATTAATCGTTTTGAATTGGAAAACAGAGGACACTAAGAAATAGACATCAAATTTTGAGTCCTTTTGGTAGAACAGATGAAATCTATTTATTTATATATGTATCTGACTAAAAGAAAAAGATTAATTTGGTTTAGTCCGCTGGCTCCTATATTCTCACTCACCAATAGACTGTTATTGATTGGATTATGAAAAGGCTAACAAAATCTCTGACCAAATTAGGAGACTTCAGATAAACCTGCATCAGAGAACAGCATGCAGAGGATACGTTTCTCCCAAGCTCTTATTAAAATACTCATAAAAAGACTGCACAGACCAATTACTAAGCATAATATGATATTCAAACATCATTAAAGTAACAGGAATCTGTTTAAGATCTGCTTTCTATTTGAGTCTAAATCAGAGACCTGGCACTGTCCTCAAGGAACTAAACACAAACAGCTCAGTGCATGCCTCACAGCTTTCTCTGTGTTCCCTCTCTTGGTCCAGCCACGTGCTATAGGATTCTTCCTCACCTGAATGACATTATTAGCGACAGAAAACACTAATATTACCTCAGGAATTGGCTAATTATTAAAAGCTGATATCAGCTATATTTATTCTATAATTTAATTTCATCTGCTGCTTGGTAATTTTGCTCTTACATACAAAATTTACCACCAACTATGTATCTCAGGCTCCCTAATATAGAAAAGACTTGTGTAAGAAAAAACATTTGGTGACATACATAAAATCACAATTATAGTAATTGGACCATAGTTAACACTGATTCAGAAAAGAGGAATTTATGCTGTTATAAGTGATTATATAAGGAAGAGAAAATGGGCTAGGTAACAATATTAAATTTTTATATAAACAACATGAATCCCAAGTTCTTATAAAGTGTATATTTAAAAAACAGGTCAAGGTGAAGGAGTGAATCTTTACTTTTAACTTCCATATGTGATCATTTGGGTCTTTTTGCCTTGGATTCATTTTCCTTTGGAACTTTTCCGTTTTGACACTGAGTAAATCTGGCTACTGTAGAAACACCATCCACAAACTTGGTTTTGAAAAGGACGTTTGCGTTGTTGAACATACCTTCTTTTAGGGATACCACAATGAACTTAAGGGAAAAAGGAAAACATAAAAAATTGTAGCATCCTTGAAGTTTGCTCTTTTTATACTGCAGTTAAGAATCATTTGGAAAAAATTTGATTTTGTTATCTCTTTAAATGCTGGGCTCCAAGCAAATGTACATAATAAATAGTTATCATTAGGCACCTAAATGAATTCTTTCCATATGCAGTTTTAGGAGTCTCTTAATTTTACTGTGAGTGCTTCATTACCCAAGTTACTATTTCCTGCTGGCTGACTGCTTGTTGCTATCTTCTCCAGTTAGTATCAACTGTCTTATTGCTAGCTCTAAATGCCACTGTTATCTGCTAAAAAATGCCATAATAAATACACAATCTATGATAACTATAAGCGAAGCCCCCCAGAACTGTTCAATGCTTTATCTATACAATCGTACTTGGTAGCCCTAGTTACTGCAGCAACAGTTCAATAAAAAACTGTTTTTAGCTTCAAAGGTTTTTCTCTGCTTTTTAGGAGGAATGAAGAGTATCCATCAAGCAACACATGACTTTCTGATATATTTTCAAGGTACATCTTTGGAAACAGTCTTGTTTTGATTGTGCATCTTCTGGCAGCTAGCTAGAGAAAATAAGTAACCTAAATAATTCCAAGTGACAAAAAAAATAGATTCCTCTTCATGCTATAACCTGCAATTATAATTCCAGGCTCTTTCTTTAACAAGAGATGAAAGCCTCTTTCCTTCTGGAACCATTTGAATAGAATTATATATTTAAAGAGATCTATAACACCTTGGTATTCCTCAATCCTAAATTCCTTATATATATTGACAACTACTAAAGAATAGTTTTAGAAAAACAAATCTTAGAACTATTCTGAGCCTCTTTTTGGTTCTTACCTGAGAATGTGTGAAATGAGTACGCAGCATATGTCCAATATTCTGAGTATGAGAAAGATCCAGGGCTGCATCGACCTCGTCCAGGATGTAGATCGGGGCAGGTTTGAAAAGCAGCATGGACAGGATTAATGACAGAGCCACTAAAGACCTGAGAGAAGAAGGCCGAAAGAAATCCCGTCACAACTTGATTTTACCACTTTTACCAAAGCGCTGAAGCAAATCTGGTATCCTGTTATTATGAATAGTGCTGATTTAGCTGGAAGATAGTTATGGAAAAAAGAATCTTAAAAGTTTCAAACTTGAAAACTTTTGTTGTATTAAAGTGTTTCTTTTAGTTTAGCTTTCCATTCTTCCCTCTCTTCAATGAGTGTTATTTTGAAAAGAACAGTTATATATTCTTCTTTCTTGTCAGATAATTAGAATGTTAAATTTAGCATCTAATCTTAAGAGACTTCATATTACTGTTAATAGTTTTTCCTTTCCTTCCCCAAAACTCTTTTTCAGTTCTTTTCTATCCCTTTTAATTGTAACAGATTTTGTTATGAAGAAATACAATATTTCTCATATTTTTTCTTAAGCATTTCATTAAAAATCTTTATTTATTATAATATAAAACATTTATAATTATTTAAATAGAATTAAAATTACAGTAACAGCTGTAACACACTATTAACTCTATAACTTCAAATATCTTCCAGCATGCAGCACTAGAGTAAACAGTCTAATGCTTACTGTATTCCAATAGGGTATTTATTAAGAAACATGTAAGTGGGGGAAGAAAGTGTGTAGAAGAAGTGGGGGCTAGGAAGGTGAAACCAAATTTTCTAGCAAAGGAAAGGAATGAAACAGTACAATAAAAAGCAAGCAAGCTGATCTCTACACTACAGGGTAGCTGAGGTCATTAAAGTGACCTAAAACTGCTTTTCAATGGCTTTCTCTGGGCCGAATATTTAAGGCATCAAGCTTTCAACTTAATCATTCGGGGGGAAAAAAAAGGCTCACCAAGAGTTAAACTACTATGCTAGACTGTGGTGTATGTGAAAATAAGTTTATATTGTCTTAATTATGAAAATAATTTTTAGATTCCAGTAAGAAAATAAGCAAATATTCTCTATTTTCCTCAAAAAATTTTTCTAGGACTTTGGCAAAAACAATTAAAAGATGTTGGGATCTATACTGCGGAATTCAATTTTGATTGACCAGGCAGCAGAAGCTGTTTTTTTTGACTCTTAGAACATTTAGGAATTTTATCAATAATGAAAAATAAAGAGTGGACTGCTATTCTATTCATAAAAATGACAAAAGATCTCATAACAGAAATGAACAGATCTTAGTATTTTCTACATCCAAAGGAGAAGAGTTCCATGACAGCAAAGAACACATGAGAGCAATCAAGGAGTATGGACTGTACATCCTGCAGGGGGAGAATATAAAATTAATACACATCTTCAATTATATGAATATTCACAATTTTCTCTCAGGGGGTTTTAATCATTTGGCTCTCTGCAGGTAAGGAATTAGGCCAAATGCTCTTCTAAAGTTTCTCTCAGTATGCTGTCTGAATCACTGTGTAAGGCTGGAGAAACTTTCCTGAAGTCCAGAACATATTATTTCCAGTACTCTTCATTGTTATGTAGACCCAAGTTTCCATTTGGCACCATTTTCCTTTTACCAGAGAACTTGTACAGTTCTGCTGGAATTAAATGCTTCCACCTTTTGTTTTTCTGAAAACATATGTTGCCTTAAATATGAAGAATATTTCTACATACAGAAGTCTAGGTTATCACGTTTTTCTTTCAGCACTTTATGGATGTTGTTCCAGATTTCTGGCTTGCATAGTTTTTGACAAGAAGTCTAATCATTCTTATCTTTGTTCCTTGTCATTTAATGAGCCTTTTTAACCTCTGGCTGCTTTTAGGATTTTTTTCCTCCTAATCCTTGGTTTTCAGCAACTATATATGACGTGCTTTGCTGTGTTATTGTATGTGTAGGAAGCGAGTGTATACATTTATCCTACGTGTGAAAGTGAAATGTGAAGTGTTAGTTGCTCAGTGCTATCTGACTCTTTGCCACCCCCATGGACTGCAACATGCCAGGCTCCTCTGTCCATGGAATTCTCCAGGCAAGAATACTGGAGTGGGCAGCCATTCCTTTCCCTAGGGATTTTCCTGACCCAGTGATCAACCCAGCTCTTCTGCATTACAGGCAGATTCTTTAACATCTGGCCACCCCTTATCCTACCTGGGCTTCCCTGGTGGCTCAGATGGTAGTGTCTGCCTTCAATGCAGCAGACCCAGGTTCAATCCCCGGGTCAGGAAGATCCCCTGGAGAAGGAAATGGCAACCCACTCCAGTATTCTTGCCTGGAAAATTCCATGGACGGAGGAGGCTGGTGGGCTACACAATTCATGGTGACAGTCACAAAGAGTCGGACACGACTGACCGACTTCACTTTATCTTACCTGGGGTTCACAGAAATCAAGTATGTAGATTAACAGAACTCATCAAATCTGGAAAATCTGGGGCTGCTATTTCTTCAACTATCTTGTTTTACCTCTTCCTCTCTTTGAATTCCAATAATATGTATGTTACTCAATATTGCCACACAGGTCACTGAAGCTCTTTCTCAGTTTAACTTTAATAGTTTATTGCTATGTTTTCAAATTCACTCATGTTCCTTTTAATGTTGAATTTGTTATCAATCTCAGGCAGAGAACTTTCCTTCCAGTTTTTTTTTTTTTTTTTAAATTTCTGGACATTTCAGTGGAATCTTCTTTAATAGTTTCCATTTCTCTCAGCTTGTAATCTTTGGAAATAGTTAATGTAACTCTCTTTAACTTCCTGTCTGCTACTTTCATCACCTGTCACTTCTGGGTCTGTTTCTCCTCTAAGTTATAAATCACATTTTCTTGAGTTCTGCCTACCAGTGTTTATTAGATGCTGAACACTGTGATTATGTTGTTTACAGTCTCAACTTTGTGGTCGGTCTTTTAACAGCATTAGGCCTGCAATTAACCTTTGCTAAGGTGTGTCTAGAACAGCCTTCACCTTAGGTGCAAATATAACGCCACGATGCATTTTCCTGGGCCTTCCCCAAATTCTAATGTTCCTTCCTTTACTAAGACTACTGGGCTTTGTGTGGGTTTCCTTCCCTGCATCTGCAGTCAGGAAATTACTCCTAGGGAGAGACCTAGGGTAAACACCGGACTCAGCATTTTGTTTCTTTTCTCTCAGGACCTTATTCCTGGGTCATTCATTTTCTAGTATCTGAAAATAATTGTTTCTCATGTATTTGGTCTAGTTTCCTAGATGCTAATCCTTATTTCTACTTTGTTGCCTATCATTTTAATCAAGTGTTCTACTGAGAATTTATAGTCTCACAGATTAGACTCCTTAAATTCCACATGCAAATATAGAAAAGCAAATCTGAAATTAAATTGGGAGGTGACGAGTTGATGGATTATAATAAAATAAGAGGAATTATTTCAAAGGGATTACTCACTTACCTCTGACCACCACTAAGTTCAGTTAGGTTTTCTTTCCAAGTATTTCCTAAGGCAACCTTAAACTCCAGACCATCCAGCACAGTCTGCCCTTCTGGTGGTGCAAGCATAGCATTAGCACCAGGCAAAAGAGTAGAAAAAATAGACCCAAAGTCCTTGTTCACCTGGATGAAAAAATGATTTATATTATAGAAAGGTTTCCAAGAAAAATCAAATGACATGTATATTTGCAAACCAGCAGGTGAATTTTGTTATCTGTTACTCTTGTTTTGAGGTTGGCAAATTATGGCCCATATGACAAATCTGGTCATGCCCATTCACTCATGATTGTCTATAGCTGCTAGCAACACAACATAGCAACATCAGAGTCCAGTGGTTGCAACAGGAGTATATGGCTGTTGATATATTTGTGTGTCTCTTTACAGAAATCATTTACTGAGCTTTGCTCAAACTTTGAGGGGAAACTACAGGCTATACCTCTAACACTAAGGCGAAGTTTTGATACAACAGGCGGCCATGGTTGCAGGAATCCTCAGAGACACACAATTGGATAATATAGGAGATTGAACTTTCAGCTGGAGGAGAAAAACAAAAACTTTTTTTGTATAACTTGTTTTCTGTTGACTGATATGGTAAGACAGGCCTGTCATTATCACCTAACTTTAAAAACCTTAAGATCAGTGAAGTCTAGGAGAAAAAGAGGCATAAAATCAAATGTTCTTTTCTATACTTCTCACAGATTGTCAAGGGGCAGGAACAGGACTGAGCCCCAAAAGAAAAAGGCTGAAGAAGCTATTTGACCTATCCCCGTTAAGTTGCAGCAGGAGATTACACAGAGATTTAGGACCAATATTCTAGGCTGTAACTGAGTAATTGCTGTGCATACACACTTGATCACTGACTTGAGAATTCAGCCATCTGTCTTCAGACATGACTAATAATCTCAGAGGTTCACCAGACAAAATTGAGTGTACACATGCATGCACACTGCCACTCCACCCCACAAAGATATATGACAGCCAAATTCTCTACATTTGAGTATAAACTTCAAGTGCAAATACATATTTTATGAATATCTGTGGTAATAAGGAAATCTCCTAAACAGTCCCCTAAATATAAATTTGCTAAGGAACACATATTTTAAGAACAACTGCATAAATGCTAATAGCCTACACAGAGAAAGTAGATTCTAGTTTTATCTGGGACAGACTTCCAGAGCTACACAAAGTTCATTGCAATGGGGAGAGGTCCACTCTTATTATGGGGGAAAGATGGAAGATAACGTATAAACACTGGAATATTTTTGTCCAGACAGGAGAAAGGCAGCTCAAAATTAAGACAGTGAAATGCTAATAAATCCAAAAGATGACCATGGGATCCCATGTGGATTATTCAAAGGGGAAAAGACAATCTTATCAGTTAATAGGTAGAGAAGAATACAGCCCAATCACAGACAGGAAATAAGCTGAATATTGAAAATCCAATGAGGTTAAGAAGGAAACAAAAATACAACCAGTTTCTAAAATACTCTGGTGTTGTGAAGGAAGTACACTTAAAGCCATAAGGAAGGACAGAATGCTGATAATAATACCTATCTCATTAGGTTACTGTTGAGAATTAAATGGGAAAATTAATAGGAGAATACTGTCTGACATATATAATAAGCACTCAGTAAATTTACTTGGTTTGGGAGAACTTTGAAGACTGGAGAAAAATCAGTTTAAAATATAAATTTGTACTTGAATTAAATCCAGCAACCATGGGGAAATCAAGAGACAGAATCTCAGGTCTAGTGTTAAATCCAAATATTGTACAAGGATACTGGGGCCAACTTTTTGCAAGCATTTTTTAAATGACAGAAATACTACAGGGAGATGGAACACTGAAAATAAGTTGTAGAGCAGGAAAAATAATGCAAATGAAAAAGACAACTATTCTGCCATTATAAAAAAATAAAGTTCCTGCAAAATTAAAAAGAGAAAAAGTGATAAGGTGCCCAATTAAATCCTAGAGGCCCAGGCTTGCTAAAATGCCAAACAGCACAGCATCTATGAAAGCTTCTGACTAGCAGTCTTTTGTTATGGTAGGAAAACTTTACAGAAGAAGCTAAGGATTATGCTAAAGGAGACAAATCTATGCAGCCGGAGAAGTAGAAATAACAGTAAGGAACCTTGAAATCTGCTGAAGTTGTCATAAAACAAAACCAAAGTGGTTAACTGGGATTCTGCTGAATATGAATCCTGGAAATACTGACTTCCCAATTAACCAGTTCTAATTCCTAAAGAGCAACAAAAGGTAATTTTAACTTAAGTTCTAATTTAGGAAAAGAGAATTCCAGGTTTCCTACATTTTGACTATTACGATCTTAAGCTAATTTCAACTTTCTAAGCTTTAGTTTCTTAATTTATAAAATAGAGATAATTATCAAAATTATGGAATTGTTTTAAGATAATTCATGTAAAATAAGAGCAAATGGTCTGTTAATTATACTTACATAAAAATAACATTTTATAATTATTAATCTAACATTATAAAAATGATTTGCTAAAAAACCTAAGAATGTATAATACTTATGAATTCTGAAACACAATTTGTAAGTGAAATACAATCTTGCTATAGAAATATTCTTAGCACTATTTGACCTCTGCAAGTCACGGCAAGAGAAACTGAAGGGGTCCTTTGGACAGGTATTCCAACAATCAGCACTTCTGCAATGTAAAACAGATAATGCTTCCAGTTTTAAGCAGAGGATGAGTAAAGGGTATGGCAGATATTTGGAAGAAACCTTAGAATATTGTCCAATATTAGAACCTATGATCTCATGAGAAAGAGGGCAAATACTGTCCCTCTTAAAGGTAACCCAGAATTAGCAAATGATGGAAGAAAGAAAAATGGAGAAATCTACAAAGTTAACTTAATATAGCTTAAGAACCAGACAAATAGACGATGAGACCATGATGGAGTGACAAATAAATCTTTGCAAATCAGTAGTAAAGTCCAAAATGACAAAATGCTTTAAAAAGTCTACAAGGTTTTAATTAAGGTATGAATATGTGCCTCATTCAAACACAAAATTGTTGCTTCAGATTTATCTTAGAATACAATGCTATTAACATGATGTCATCTTCCATCTTTGCCTCATACAGAATAAATGATAATATTTTGGGTTCAAGTACCTTTTGCCAAGCAATATTTATGGCTTGGTTTTTCTTCTGGTCCAGGTCTTCTATAGTTGCCAGGATTTTGGATTTGTCATTTTCTACAATTCTTTTCTTCTTCATCAAGTCATTATACTAGTAAGATAAAAAGCAGACTTAATTGAGAAAACTAAAAAATTTCTATTTTAGGCTTCAGTCAAGAATAGAGATTTTATTATTTTTATATGCAATACATACAACTCCTTCTTACCAAAAAGATACACTACATTGAGTTACAACATAAGCCAAACTGAGGAAAGTAAATATATCTATATGTAAAATTCAATTACTATAGCTGAGAATTTATAGCACAAACTCTTGAAACATTTTTGACTCCACTTATATTCCTTATCTACCCAGGAGTCAGGCAAAAAAAGGAATATTTGTCATGTAAACTCAAAAGCAGCCTTGCATGCAAGGTCAGTCTTTGCAGTGACATAAAGGTTTAACTTTTTTAAACTCTTTACCACAATGTATAAAGTCCTACATAATTTGGCTCCTATTTATCTCTGGACTTTTGGCAACACAGCCCTCCCCAGGCTCCAGCCATGGGGCCTCATTTTGTTTCCTGAACATAAGCTCACGGTAGCCTTATGGCCCCCGCACTGTTCTTCCTCCACTTCAGACATGACTGGCGCCTCACGTTTCCACTCCAACATCTGAGTGGTCTTCTCTGGTTAATGAAGAAATTTACCAAAAAAATTTTGAGGGAGGCTACAGAGGGATCAAACCATGAGGAGCAGCAGAACTTTCTAAAAATCCTTTTAACTTATTTCTCCTCACAGCCTCGCATGTCAAGGCGGTTTCATATTCTCCCTGAAAAACTCTAGCCAGTCTTGCTAGTTTCCTTGCTGTCCCTCTCCTTTGTGGAGAAAAGATTTTAGGAGCTTGGCCACATTTTTATACTGTTCCTTGCATAATTCCATATATTTTCTCACATGTGGTGACCCAAAATACAATAACAAAAAAACAAAACGCAAACCACTGATCAACAATATAGGCCCTTCCTCTCTGGTATGGAGATGGGAATTGGTAAAATAAAAAAAAAAAAAAAAACTAGCCTAAGTTATTATTTATAATAAAAGCAAACAAGTAAAAGGAAACAAATTTCACGATGTTAAGCAGCTCAAATTCAGACGAAATGGTTCCCTTCCACGAATGTGCCATATATTGCAAAGCTTTAATGGAGAAATGAAAACCAGCAGGAATATTTAACAGAAAGATCACAGTATGTACATTATTAATCTGTTTCGTATCTAATATAATACAGATTCTTTGTAGATACTAATGTCAGTAACAGCTTAAGAAACCCTTTAGCAAAAACTCTGTTAAAAGTGATAGAGCTCATAGGTATTACCACTTATACAGCACTCTCATTAACTGTTATACAAATTCAGACTTTTACAGAATTAAAGAAGATACAAAGCATAATATAAAATTACTCAGATTGCTATTTCCTATGGGGCCATAAAGAATAGGAATTGCTTTCCCTTTTGGGTTTTTCTAGTGACATGCAGACTGTAAAAGGTAAGGGAGATGGATAACACCATCAAGTAACTGAGAGCCTTAAAACAGAGAAGATGCTGCTGGATTTACAGATTAGTAAAACAGTGTTAATGTATGTAACAATTTTAGTCATTTACTTATTTAATGGTTCTTGCAATACACTGGAATCAAAGGAAGACAGTGGTTAGGATGACTGGTAAGGAGGCAGACAGCAGGATATAAGTATTCCGTCATTTTTCCAAAGTTCACTTTATATCACTATTTTTAGAAGAAAAGGTAAAAAGCACAAATATTATTCAGCATGTGTTCTGCAGTGAGCCATTCCTTACAGAAGCAGCATACACCCTAAGCAGTGAGAGTGGCACCATCAAGCTCCTCATGAGAGCAACACTGAGCATCTCAGCATCAAGCCTCCTCCCAGGGCTTTGAACTGTGTCTGTGAGCATCTGTGATTTATCTCACTTTGCTCTGTTCATCTGTTAGCAAGAAGGGCCCTATGGTAAATGCTTCTTGACTTTACACCATTTTGGCAGGAAGGGTTTCAAAGGAATGCCCTGCTTTTTGGATAGTGGGGAAAACCTGTACAGTCTTCTTCAAAGCCTTTCAAAAAGACAAGAGAAAGAAATGATATAAATGTGAGGAGTTAACACGATCAAAGTGTTTTTATTTAAACCAAAAATAAGAAAGGGGTTGAACATATTCACAGCAAAAGGAAAAGCAGTGGAAAACTCATTTAAGCACAACAGAACACATAACTGATGATACAAAAATGAAATAAGAAATAACTGAATAGGAAGAAAAACAAAACAAATTTTCAAAAGCATAAAGCAAAGACTGACTCTAATAATTGTCTTGGGGTCACATCTGCTGGAGACAGAAATGGCAACCCATTTCAGTATCTTGCCTGGAGAATCCCAAGGACAGAGGAGCCTGGCAGGCTACAGTCCATGGGCCGCAGAGTCGGACACGACTGAGTACACACACCAGGGGTCATATAAAACCATCAATGCTACTCATGTTTTAAAGTGGCCATAGTCATAGCAAAGTGACTTACACGCTCTTCAGCTTCAGTCAGTACATTCATCGCTCTCATGTTGACATTTCTTCCTAGTTTCTCCTTCATTTCTTGCAACTTGTGAAGTCTCTCACCAGCTTCTTTTGGGTTGTTAGCTTTGAAATCATAGGTGCTATTGGGTTGCCCAAAGAGGTGTTTTTCTACAGTAATCCAGTCATAGTCCTTCAACATTTTGGACACCTAGCCATAAGATGATAATGGAATAATATCATTGCTCACAAACCTATATTTAAAAATTAGTTTCTTAAATATTTACTAATTTTTACAAACATTTTTGAGAAAAATCCCACAATGACTCATTTGAAAAAAAATTAGATTCATTGTTGATTGTGAACCTGTAAGTATGAATATTTTTACCTAGAGGATAGGCTAAAAAAAAAAAAAAAGAAAAAGATATTACTTAAGCATCAAAATAAATGTGAACTCAGAGAAATAGTTAAAAAGTGTATGTGTGTGTGTGTGTGTAAACATTGCCATTATAATGAGATGAGGCTCCAGATTTTACCAAATTCAATCTATTGCTTCAAAAAAACAACTTGTGAAAGTTTAGTCTTATACAAATATTTAAGTCATAGATAACTGTAAAATCATGAAAGCCTAATAGTGATTGGTATCTAATAATTCTTGAAATTATAATCTAAGTAAACCATTACCTTAAATATTGACTCCATCCCCTTGCTAACCTCTTTTGACAAGGCACAGTAAAATACTCATATAATATAGCCATTAAGAATTTTTAATTATAGTGCTTAAGGTAGACTTTCTTCTAGTGTAACTGGTTAAGACTGGTATTGACTGCTGAAAGCTAATCTTTGTCAATCATCCTTATTAATTCCATGAGTAGAGTCACACCGCCAGACTGCAAAGTAATATGGTCATTTCTAGCCTATCTTTCCTGCCCATCTGTGAGCTCCATGAACATGTTCTGTGGCATGCTGCTCATTCTTGTATTTTTAGTGCCTGGTATAAGTATACAATAAATATCTGATAAACTATGTATTCCAAGAATACTTGACGTTTTAGCAGTTCTGCTTGCAAGTCCCTCTTTCTACCCTCTTCACTTAACTGTACATAGAATCCCTTAGCAACCACCAATACTAGTATTTTCAATTATATTTAAAAAGAAAAAACCTATTAACAGTAATATTAGCATTGGAAATAGTTCAGTGAATCCACTAATACTAGGCTACTAGGCAAATGGGAAATCAATACTAATAAAATATTAGGATATTACCATGTGGTCATTAAAAAAATGCTCTTTAAACAAAGTAATGAACCTGAATAGGCACTCATGTCTCCTGCAGAAAAGGGTGGAAGACTGTTTTGTATGTTCTCATACATACAAAAAATCTTTTTGAAATTAAATCTCTTGTACTTTTATGATGCTAAAAAAGATTTAAAAGGCACCAAATTGTTACACACCAGTAAGAAAACATGATGAGTGAATTATTAAAACCACATAAATGAAGCCTCCTAACTAAGCAATGAATTCTTGCAAAACTATGCATTTTCTTTAAAGTACTTAGGTTACTGTGATACATGAAAGAAATTTTAATTAAGAGTGACGAAAAAACTGTGGGATAACTTCAAAGACACTGCTTGGCAAAACGTCAGATTTCAAATGAGACTTCGAACACTGACTATACTAATCCTCCTAAGGACATCCTAAACCAACTAAGTCCTTACTTCAGAAGTTCCCTATGTATATTTCTCTGTGAGTTCCCTAAATTCAATTTGCAATAATGTAAAGAATATATATTACAACTATTAATACATTAGCAATTAGTTCTATGAACAAATGGGGATTAAAAAAGTTATTTCCATGGGAGGCCACTCAATATTTGGTTAAAAACATCTTGGAGATGGGAATAAAGCCCCTGAAATTAAATTTAAAAATAAAACATTTTTGCCATTTGGTGACTGCTGAGAAGCAGTCATAGCTGTATGCCTCAAAATTGTTACACAGTAGTTCTGCCATTTACAGTAAGTTCTTCATTGAGCACTCTACCAGAACATTTCAAAAACCCAGAGGCAAAAATGTGACTAAGAATAAAAACGAACAACACCAACATGCCTTGGCAGCAGCATCTTCGGCGTCCCGTTTGTGTTTGCTGATGTTGTGGTCCAGTTCCTTAATTTTAAGCTGAGATTCATTGTTTTGCTCCTTGTGTTTTGCTACTTGTGCATATTTAGCTTTAACTATGTTGTCTTGGGCTGTTATCACTTCTTTTTGCTTGGTCACCTCTTCTTGAGCTTTATTGACCAACTCCTGAAATGAATAATTACAAGACAACATACAGCAAGGTAAGATGGAGACATTTTTTGCTTTACTGAAAGATCATCCAACAGACTTCTAGACAAGATGGCAATGTGTCATCTAACGTTTTACCTTTTCATATCCCCATGAAAATGACTAACACATTTACAGATAAAACTTGTATTACCACTAGGAAAAAAGGGATGAGATGCATTGTTCATGCTGGAAGGCAACAAAGTTCCTGTGACACAGTATAACTGGCATCACCGAGGTGGAGGAGGGGTTACTGGGATTTGTCCTGTGAGGTCTCTCAAAAAAGTGGGATTTTGGTGGTGGTTACAAAATAATATGACAGACCTGCAAATGCCATTTATTATGAAGGCAAAGAATGGGGGTGGAAGTAAGGTAAGCTGGCGTTCGTTCCTCTCCCTTCTATACAACTAAGCCATGAGGCCTCCGACAGTGGCAACAGAAGGTCAGGGCGTTTGGTTCTAGCACAGGCGTTACAGCAGAGATACGGAACACGAAGAGAAACTTTTGAAGAAACAGATCTGCGGCACAGAGAAACACTTCTCACTCTTTTACTATCATCAGTTTCCCTCTCAAGTGAAAATTACAGCTGGGATTTAGTCTACTAACTCTCACCTCCTCCACCTCAAAGTTCTTTGCTAGATCTTAAAGGTCTTTCTGGTAGAGTCACAAACTCACACAAACATCTAAAAAAAAAAGAACCTAGCTCAACTCAGATTTAGGTACAGGAAAACAAAGAGTAGAACAACCTGCTAAAAGACTCTGAGGAATAATAGAGCTGTTGAAGTGATGATAAGCTTCAGTAAAAATTTAGGAATTTTTTAAGGCATGCTTGTTAGAAAACAAAATAATTTTGAGCAATAAACAATACCTGACATTATGGTTAAGTTATTGAACATGACATAAGTAATTTCTTTATAATGTTTGTGTCATTAAAAGTCCTTTGCATGAGGAAGTTACAGCATTCATCTAAAAAATCCAAAACAAAAACGCATGACAAAAACATGTTTATGAAGAAGATTCTCTCACACCTAAAGATTGAAGATGGCGTCACAGGTATAACTGTTTCAATCTACAATTGTTAAGAGAAAAACAAGGATATCTATCACTTCAGATTGAGCCAAAGTTTTTAGTTTTGTTTGAACATATAATTTGAAGGCAATTTTTCTTAGCTCCCTAAGAGGGCAAACAGAAACAATTTAGAATATCAAGACTAAAAGAACGTTTACAAACTAAGAGATCCATTTTATAGTTTTCCATAGAGAAACAGACATTCTCTTTATAGAAATATGTATATGCTTTGATTTTATCGTTATTTAGATCAAGGAAGAAGTGGCTTATTTTACTTCCACATTTCTCTTTAAAAATATGACATCTAAGTTTTTTAAAATTCCACAACTTGAGGTCCATGAAAGATGGTAAAAGATATGGAGGAATGAGACAAAAAGGCAAGGCAGTAAAGAAACTGTAGAAATGGTAATCAGCAACACAAAACACAAAGCTCAAAAGCATTTTGATCCCTGATCTTCAAAAATATAGTTAAAAAATTGTTCTGCTATTGATTTGATAATTTGATAATGTGTTAAAAATAAAAAAAACCCTCGAGTTTAACCACAAATAGAATGAAGAGAAAAGAACCACTTAGGAAACAATGCACAGTACAACAATTAAAACAATTATCTCAAGGAAAGAGTGTGACAGGAAATGTAAAAGTGGAGGCCAAAAGGCAAAAACACACTTTACTCTGGCATAGGTAAATGGATGGAACTCCCCTGTTAGAAGCTGTTACATTTTAGTTAACATGACCTACTAAAAGTACCTAACTGCAACAGAACAGAAAACTTCAAAAAAAAAAAAGTGGTATCAAAAAACCAAGGTGATTTTACTTTGTATAGCATGGTGACAGTAGTTAATAATAAATACTACTATATATTTCAAAGCTGCTAAGACAGCACATCTTAAAAAGTTCTCATCACAAGAAAAAAATCTGTAATTATACATGGTTACCAGACTTACTGGGGTGATCATTTCACAATATATTAAAATGCTGAACCATTATATTGTACACCTGAAACTAATATAAATGTTATGCCAATTATATCTGAGTTTTAAAAAGTAGGAGTAGAAATAATGAAACAAAACAGAATTCAAGGTCAAAATCAAAAAGAGGGTCAAGAGGGTATCCAATATTCATGAGGGAGCATTTCTAATATTCGTAGGAAATAGAAATATCTTCACAACATGAAACCCTTGCACCCCAAATCCACCCTTAAGTGCAGGCTTCTGAGATGGGAACACTTCTCCCTTGCCAGGTGTAACAATATGAAGCCTCATCAGTAAAGGATGCCGTGGGGACACTGGAGAAGGAAGGGGCTTTACCTCTTGGTTCTGCTGTGCTTTTCTCAAAGGCAAGGCTGTCACTTACACAGCTTCCCCCGGCACCCCAGCAGCAGTCTTTACAGACGATCCACAGGCTAGGCACCTCCCTGCGGCCGGGCCCCCTGGCGTCCCAGGAAGCTGTTTTCGCAGCAGATGTCCCCTGCAGCACTTTCCTCGGCATGGTTTCCCTCCTACACCCAACCCCACGAGCAGAGGGCCACAATGATGTGTTCTCCAACTACATGCAGTTCTCAGCTTTGCAGGTAGAAGGGGGCTCTTTTCCAGAGTTGTTCCTTCTGGGGGTGCACTGCCTCAGCTTATAGGTAATGACTGCTCCTCTATCTGCTGTTCAGATATTCTAGAGTTTTCTCTACCCCTTAGCAATCAATCATACATCATTCCAAATTCCTGTTATAGTTAATAATTTATTTCTAAACTCTGCCTGGTCAAATTACTGGGTATTTTTCATTTTCTAGTAGACCTGGACTAAAACAATTAGTGATATTATTTCAGGACTCTTTCTGATTGGTAATCATCATTTTCCCTCTCATCATGACAAGGGTGAAGAGCCTGAGACCTCTGAAGTCAAACATCTTTAAGCCACCATTTCAGAAGCAGAGTGACATCTGTATTTTCCTAATGTGGTTAAACCACTCTTACCTCATTTTTAGCCACCTCAGAGGCCATTACTGCAATCTGGCCCTCGTAGGATATGATAGCTTCCTTTACAGCTTCAAGCTGTTGTTGATAGGATGCATGCTCTCTCCTGAGCTCCTCCAGCTCCAGGGTGATAGCTTCAACTTCCTATAAAAAACACAGCATCTGGGCATTCAACAGTTACCAACTATTGAAAAATAATTACACACATGTCAGCAAAACTAATAGATACTCAAGCAAGTAAGGACCTTGGTTACTCAACAACTGAAAACATGTAAGCTGCTTCCAAAGAAGAAAGGGGAAAAGAAATTTATTTTTCTGTATTAAAAAATGTACATACAATTTTTATGGGTTCAAAGAACTTTGCATAAACTAGTTCATCCTTTCCTTCCTATAGGGAAAAACAATACAGAATTCTATATGGCAGATAGGAGAGGTAAAAACCTTTTTTTAAACAATTTTTTAATGACAAAAAGTTACTTTCTCTTCTTTCCCATTATAGCCTTTAGTTCTTTTCAAAATGCTTTGTGTAAAGCTAAATATTTACTAGTAGAATCATAAGGTGGGTTTAAAAAGAACTGTGAAGGTAAGTCAGATTTAAGTGAAATTGTATTCAATAGTGAAATTATATGGAAGTGATTGAGCACATAGCCTTTGTAAACAGAAAAACATAGGTTCAAATTCCAGCCGTGAAACTATCCAAAATAGTCTATAATTGAATAACACTGCAAATGTAACATGCTTTGTCATCATTATTCTTTCACAGTGTATGTTTCAAACAAGATGATCACCAAACAGAAACATCAATAGTGAGTCTCTGATATGACACAGCTTGGCTTACATGATACAAGCTTTGGTCCACTCCTGCATGAAGCATTATCAAAATCAAACATTTATCAAGCAACCTTGTCTCTCACTTTGGGATTATCAGTGAAGAAGGCCAAATCAACCAACGGTGCTCTACCACCCTTCAGTTCTACGCTGATGTGAAAAGATTAATTCTATTAAAAAAAACAATGACCTGTTGTTTCTCTTTCATTTTCTTGCTAGAAGCATCTGCTTTAGTTTTGGCGCAATCTAGTTTTTTCTGGGCATCCTTCAGTTCTCTCTCTCTTTCAGCTTCTGCATTTTTCATTTTATTCTCCAACACCTCATATTTTTCTTCAGCTTTTTTCTGAATTTCTTTGGTGTTTTTTAAGGTCTCCTCACTTTCCTCTGCATCATAAATCAGGCAAATACAACTAAATGACATCTTCCAACTAGTAACAGTTATAGATAAGGGCTTACAAATTCAACTTGTAACAGAAGAAAAGGTATAGAAAGTTGGAGGCAAGAGTTTTTTTTTAAAATTAACTGTTTTAACCTTATTCTAGAAATAGTATGTTGAAAACACAGGTCATACCTTAGAGCCATACTTGAATTATCTAAATTCTATAAAGAAATTATTTCCAATCACACGAAATTGAGTAACATAAACCTGACCTACAATTTAACTTATAAAAAGATCACAGACCATTTTATATACCATATGCTTCCTAAAACCAGAACTGAGCACATAACTATGGTATTTTTATTTTAGTTATAAGAATACTTTTAATTAACCCCATAAAAAAGCTTAACTTAGTGTTCCTTGCTCATTTATTTTTATTCAAGGAAACTCTTTATTAGAGAAATATTGTGAGAACATACCTAGGACGAAGCAGAGGAAACATATTACCTCTGAATTTATAAATTAAAAAATAAAGTAAGATAGAATGAGCATGTTATGGTCACAGTCAACATTAAGTGTTAGGACTAGGTACAAACATAACCTTGAAAGCCATGATTATACAATGTCCTATACTACTTTTCACTGTAGAATATCATTCTAGAAATCAAAAGAGAAATAAAAAAATACCCAACACAAAGATAAACAGAAATACAACAAACCAAATGTACATTAGATGTAGCAAAATCAGTTCTAGGAGTGAAGTCCAGAACAACAAATGCCTACCTAAAGAAACAAGAAAGATCTCAAACAACTTTACACCAAAAATCTGTTGTTTCTATATACTAAACGGTCCCATTTAGAATTGCATCAAAAAGAAGAAAAACCCAAAGTTAGTAGAAGGAAGAAAACAATAAAGATCAGTGTGGAAATAAATGAAATTGAGACTAAAAAGAAATAGAACAAAAATCCATGAAATTAAAAGCTGGTTCTTTAAAACCGACAAACTTTCAGCTAGACCTAAGGGAAAAAGACTCAAAGTCAGAAATAAAAGATATAACTAATACCACAGAAATATAAGGAATCATAAAAGGTAACTATGAAAAATTTCATACCAACAAATCAGACAACCCATAAGAAATAAATCCCTAGAAAAAGACAACCTATCAAGATTCAATCATGATGACACAGAAAATCTGAAAAGACAGATTAGTAATATGGGAATTTAATAAGGAATCAAAAACCTCCCAACAAACAAAAGTCCAGGTGAATTAAATCAAACATTTATAGAATTAAAACCAATCCTTCCTTTTCAAATTCTCCCAAAAAGCAGACAAAAAGGAAATTCTTCCAAACTCATTTTGTGAAGTCATCATCATCCTGATATTGAAACCAGACAAGGATACCAAAAGCAAAAAAACCCACAGGCTATCATTCCTGATGAACATAAAAGCAAAAATCCTCAACAAAACATCAGCAAACCAAATTCAACAACACAGTGAAAGAATCATACACCGTGACTAGGTGGGATTTACTGCAGGGGTACAATGATGGTTTAACATCTGCCAATTAGTGAATATGATACACTACATTAACAAATTCAGGATAAAAGTCATGGTCATCTCAATACAAAATCAATTACAAAAATCTGTTGCTTCTGTACAGAAAATGATCCCATTCATGACTGTATCAAAGAGAAAAAAACCTAAGAATAAATGTAACCAAGGAGGTGAAAGATATGTACACTGAAAACTATGAAACACTGATGAAAGAAACTGAAGACAGAAATAAATGGAAAAATATTCTCTGTTCACAGATTTGAAGGATATTGTTAAAATGTCCATATTACCCAATGCAAGCTACAGATTCAAGTCAGATTCTATCAAAATTTCAATGGCATATTTCATAGGAATAGAATGAACAATCTGAAAATTTGTATGGAACCACAAAAGACCCTGAACAGCCAAAGCAATCTTGAAAAAGAACAACAAAACTGGAGGCATCACACTCCCTGATATCAAACTGGTGGTTCAGACGGTAAAGCATCTGCCTACAATGCAGGAGACCCGGGTTCGATCCCTGGGTCGGGAAGATCCCCTGCAGAAGGAAATGACAACCCACGCCAGTACCCTTGCCTGGAAAATCCCATGGACTGAGGATCCTGGTAGGCTATAGTCCATGGGGTCGCAAAGAGTCGGACATGACTGAGCGACTTCATTCACTACAAAGCTAGAGTAATTAAAGCAGTAGAGTAGTGGTATAAAAAGAGACACAAGGATCAGTGAAACTACTGAATAAAAGAACCCCAAAACAAAGGCCATGCATACGTGGTCAATTACTTTATGACAAAGGAGTCAAGAATATATTATAGGGAAAAGACAGTCTCTTCAGTAAATATTGCAAGGAACCTGGACAGTCACTTATAAAAGAATGAAACCGGACCACTTTCTAACACCACATACAAAAATACCTGGACAGTCACTTATAAAAGAATGAAACCGGACCACTTTCTAACACCACATACAAAAATTAAGTCAAAATGGATTAAAGACTTGAAGGAAAAACCTGAAATCAGGAAACTCCTAGAAGAAAACAGGTGGTTAGCTCCATAACATAGGTTTTGATGATTTTTTGAACTTGACACCAAAAGCAAAGGTAACAAAAGCAAAAATGAACAAGAGGGACTATATCAAACCAAAAAGCTTCTGCCCAGCAAAACAAATCATCAACAAAGCTAAAAGGCAACCTACTGAACAGGAGAAAACATCTGTACATCATCTACCTGAAAAGAGGTTAACATCTAAACCATATTAAGAACTCATATGATTCAACAGGAAAGAAAAACAATCAAATCAAAAAATAGAGGACCTGAATACACATTTTCCACATAAGATGTACAAACAGCCAAGAGGTAAATGAAAAGATACTCAACATTAATCATAAGGGAAATTCAAATCAAAACCACAAAGAGCAATCACCTCAACTGTTATACTGGCTATCAAAAAGACAGGGAGTGTTCACTGCTTCATTATTTACAACACCCAAGACATGGAAACAACCACTAACGGATGAATAGATAAAGAAACTGTGGCATAAGCATACCACGGCATACTATTCAACCATAAAAAAAGATGGAAATCCTGCCATTTGCAATAACATGGGTGGACCTTGAGGGCATTACATGAAGTGAAATAAGTCAAAGAAAGAAAAATACCATATGATCTACTTATATGTGGAATCTTAAATATCTTAGGTCACAGATACAAAGAAAAGATTGGTGGTTGCTAGAGGCAGCTGGTGGGGAAGGTGAATGAAATGAATACATTTTTAATTTTATAAAAGAGAAAAAAAGAATAAAAATATTAGTGGGGGGAAATAGGTCTGTGAACAGTCCTAAGGAATAAGAGAAATTTAAAACTACCATATACAATTAAATTCTGATTAAAGGTGTCAAGATAGGTTCTTAATATTAGGGACACACAGATAGTTATAAATTCAATTACACATATAACAAAAATACTATAAACATAAACAAAACCAAAAGACAAGCATATAACAGAAAGGTTATTTGTAATATGGTACACAAGAACAATAAAAACAAGCCATGAGCAACCCAACAAAAGAGCGCAAATTAACAGAAAATTATTACATATAATTAAAATAACTAATTCAAGTATATAATAAGCATGAGAGCTTCAATACCGCAAGTATGGTTATCAGCTGAAACAGACTAGCACAAACTGTTTTTATCTCACCAATGATTTTTTTAAGAGCATCTAGTTCTTCCTGCTGCTTGTGATAGGAGCTTTGCTGAAGCTTGGTTTGTAATAAATCTACCTCCTCAGCCTTCATCTCCCACTGCTGTTTTAGGTGGCGATACCTTAAGGAAGAGAAGTTTATAATAAAGGACAATTTTTCTGATGTTTGAGACATGCATTTAAACAAGCTTTTACATAAAACAAACTCATACAACATAATGTAAGATGCCACTGGTTACAAGACTCATTTTGATGACTTCCACACTTCTGAAGCATCAATTAAACTCAAGTTTGACTTGGTTACTGAAGGTAAATACTCTAAATGACCAAGACCAACAGTAACTATCCACAGAAATATTAATTTTAGCAAATATTAATAATCTGAGAATAAGTTACCTTAAAAATAACCCTTCTCACTGATCCTTATCTAAAAGAAAAACTCCATAACAGCCCCCATCACAAAAATAGTATAACAATTACATAAAATTTCAAAAATTTGGTTAGCTCAATCCCCAGTTTCAAATGTTTAAAAAAATAACATTCCCTCCATTTTGTAAGGAGACTGGTGGTTTAAAATGACACAGTACTAAACGTAAACATTCACTGAGCACTTTTTTTTGCAGATCCTGTAATTGTCCCCCAGTTCTGGCAGCTTCAAATTACGGCTTTGGAAGGTATTTTGCTAATTCAGCTGCAGTGAAATTTTAAATTATAGTAAATTCAAAGGTTGCTTGTAACTAGAAATTCATGAGGTTTGAGAGCAAAAAACAAGCAACTTATAAATACTCCCTTAAGTATTCTTGTCTGAGACTGCTTGACAGCAATTAAAAAGCCATAATTTTAACTCAGAGTCATTTTTCAACTCATTTAAAAATGTAAAGAAATTTAAAAAAAAGACAAGCTATTTTCCTGATATGGTCTATGAAAGAATGGCTTTAGGTGACCCTTCCACTTTCATTTTTCAAAGTCTATTTTTCTTCCTGGACCTCAGGGCCACAATTAAGTCTACAAAACAACTCTGCAGAATAAATAACCTAGTACTGCTCAACAAACTTAACAGTTCCAAGCCAAATGTGACTACAACTGAGTTTGTAATTCATTCCCTTAACAGAGCTTCCACATTTCAGAAACATCTTTTTGTCTCTTTCTCACAGAAAGTTCTTTCATTTTATGATTATAAGTCAATGAAGGTGAAAGGTAGGCTTTACATGTATATAATGTTTGAAAGCGGGCATTTTGATACAATTTACATCTTGGAATGGCCACTTTGACTTAGTGTAAACAATCTTTTCCATATATATACTGTGTCCCAAAAAAGTCTTAGTACTATTCTAAGCTTTGATTAATTTCAGGAGATAAATGCCAAAAGTTTACCCCTCAACAAAAATTTAAGTTTTTATCTTTTATTTTCTCTTACCTTTATTCAGTATTGTGAATTCTAAATAAAATGTTTAATTTTATCTCATTTCCCACTCGCCATCTTCAGAGAGGTTAGAAAAAAATTACAATTAGACTCTCAAATACTAAACTTTGTTAAGTTTGTGGCATTTATACTCCTGAAGTTTTTAAAGCAAGTAAGGACTCTTCTGGATAACCACATGGTGAGTTCACTCAACATCATGCAGGTGCTTATTCAAAAGTCATCTTCTCAGTAAGGCTTTCCCTGCCCAATCCATATAAACTTTCAACGCTTCTTCCCTATTTTACATTTTTATTCTTAGAACTTAGCATTATCTAACATACCTTTTATCAATTTAACTTTTAATATTATCTGTTGCCCCAACTCCACATATGAAAATAAGATGAAGGAAGAGATTTATCTATTTGATTCACTGCTATATTCCCAGTTCTTTGAAGAGTACTTGGCACATGAGGAACGCAATAGTAAATAATGTTAAGTGGCAAAAACGGTTACATTGAATAGCATGAACCCAATTATGAAAAAAAAAAGTGGCACACATATTTCATCATAAATATGTATCATACACAAACAGAAGTAATGTTGAACAGTACACATACATACCTATATCCATACCCACAAAGAAAAAACACTGGAAGTAAACACTAATTTTAGCCCTGACTTTTGACATGAACTTGTTTAACTTCTTCACAGGCAACCTAGCTATCTTCAACATGTACAGGACAGCCATAAGGCTGCAAAACTTAGTGCAGACGCCCAATCAATGCTATAGCACATTATATAACTTCAGATCAAGGACTCAAGAGTCCTCTGGCATCAACCGTCAGAGCATCTGTGTGTTTCCCCACTAATCCCCACAGAATGTTAACAGACTATATATCTCAGTAGAAAAATAGGAATATTTGGCTGATTTTTCTTTCTTCCTTTTAGTTCTTTCCATAATTTCCTAAAACATCACTTATGTTAAAAAAAATTAACTGATAACTTATCAATTCACAACTTATTCAATACCAAACTTATTTTCTTTAAGTTGTAAGTATTTCTTTAAATATTAGCTTTTTTAATCTTCTACCATGCAGATGCAGATCTTTGACCAAAAAAAATTTTAGTAACAGCTTAATCCAACCAAAGTCTTACTTTTCAGCAGTGTTTTTAAGATTGGCTAATTCCTCTTCTAGAGCCTGTAGCTCATTCTCCTTGGTTCTGAGTTCATCTTGAACAGCTTTGAGTTCTTGAAACTTCATTAAAATGGAAGTTGCCTGGGATCGAGCACCTGACAGAGGCAAATTGAAAGAGGCCTTGGACACGAAGTTGCCATATATTTAGTAAACAATCAAGTTTCCTAAGAGATTTACACTTGAAATAATTCAACAGCCAATCTTTAGTGGTTTATGAAGCCACAGAATCCATTTTATGATTTGAATCGCAGGGCATACATATGTGATAACAAATACTGTATATGTGGTGGGTTATTTACTCAAAACAATCATCGCCTCTACTCACTGGGTGGATCCCTCTCAGGACCATTTTCTGCTCTACCAAGATCAGGCTCAGCCATGTGCTCTGCTCTAGCCGATGAAGGGGGAAATCTGCCACTTATGAAAGTAAGCTTTCAGAGGCAGCACATAATTTGTTTTCCCTTTCCCATGAGTAAAGTATGTTAAAAAAAAAAGATTTTTCAGTCAGCCTAAGTCCCATAATGAGAATAACATGGAGCAGAGACAAGTAACATGATGTAGCATAATTATAGAATAAATCTGTAAGCCACTGAGATTTGGGAGCTGTTTATTACCATATCGTAACATGGTCTAAACTTGACATAGCATAGTAAATTGGTTTCACCTTACATGCATTATAACTGTCTGGTAGTAACAGGCTGAGGTGTTAAGCTGTCAAGAAAACTCTAGGTTTGATGGAAGAAAGTGAAGGTCCATCAACAATGCTATCATGAACACTTTGCTTATATGAAATGGGGTTACATATCTGCCATCACTTAAGGAGGAATTTCAAGAACATATAATTCAGTGAAATCTAAAATGTTCCTTCTAATCTAGGTATTTTAAAATGTTTGGTCTGGAACTGTAGATACTAGTCATTGTGTACACTGGGGAACTTGATCATGAAACTCATTATAGTGGCTACTGTTTCCTTGGACTAGAAAGAAATTAAGATACTTCATAACTCAAGAGGCATCCAAGTCTCTTGGTTTGGTTAAAAGCACAAACTGTAAAATCAGACTGCCTGAATTTAAACTCTGACCCCTGGCTCTACCACTTATCAGCAAATTCTTAACCGCTCTACTTTAGTTTCGGCAAACATATAATGGAAAAGACAGTAACGTCTACCTCAAGGTTGCCGTAAAGATTAAACGAACTAATTAAAGTCCTTAGGATAGGGCCTTATAGAATGATAGAAATGTTCCATATATGCACTATCCAATTACCCACTCACCACTGTGGTTACTGAACCCTTGAAATATGCCTAGTGCAATTAAGTACACTATTTTATTCACCTTCAATTACCTTCTTTAAATGGAAAGTCACGTGTGGCTAGGAGCTGCTGTACTGGACAGCCCAGGCTCACAGCACTGCCTAGTACACAGCAAGTACTAGTCAGTGTTTGTTATTTATTACGTGGTCACTTGACGTGGATATGCAAACGGTGTCACAAATATTAGGACAGGAAATACACGTTCACTGCCGAAGAATTCCCTTCTTCAGGCACCAGCTCAAGGGCAGATTTAAAGTTTTGCTTTACTTTTGACAGGAGCAGTAGCATATACACACATTAGAAGTTAACATGTTTCCTAATGGAAAACTGGGTGGCCAAGCTATAACTGCACTGAATAAAAATACTTTTTGTTTCCCAGTGACTAGAATATCTTAATAAGGCAAAAATGAGAAAACAAGAATAGACTTAAGATGAGCGAGAAAAGCTCTGGTACTGATTACTACACTGAGTTCCATCTGGATGATGACAGTGTATAATTTCTCAATTAACAATAAGTAACTGTCACAAATGAAAACTCAATCCTTTGATTAGGAATAAAACACTGAATTAAATTATTCCAACCCCAATATTTCCTATTTAAAAAAGAAAAGACCCCATCCTATTTAGAACAAAGGATTATGAGGACAAAATGATATAAATCCTACCTCCACTCAACGTCCCGTGAGGATCAAACACATCACCTCCTAGAGTTACAGTTCTAGTCATTATCCTTTTATCAAAAGCTACTTTTTTTGCATTATCCATATTGTCACAAACAAATGTCATTCCAAAGACAAATTCCATTGCTTTCTGAAGTTCTGGTTTGTATTCAACCAGGGAAAGAGCCACATGAACATTATTAGGGCCAACCTGTGGGAAAATATATGTCACAATACATATTACTCCTTTCCTTTCAAATACTATTTTATAAAGTACTAATAATGCCCACAACTGTTAGTATAAAATACTAACTTAATATACACACCCAGCACCCCTTTTGAATTTTCTAAAATGCTATAGAAAACTCACTTTTAGAAAAAAACAATTCAAGTTTAAACATAGAAAAATCTAAGTAAAACATTTAGTGAAAATACCAGTCATGAATTTCAATCAAGTAGAAGCCACTATCAAGTTTCTAAATTCAAAGTGGATTATCTGTGAACACACTTTCTTAAAGTACAATTTCTAGATCAACACAGTTACACAATTACATGTTTTACTTCAACTATCAACTTGGTTGTCCCAAAGTGAGTACTTTCCCATTCAAATAAAACATGCTAGAGCAACTACCTTCCAGTTACAGAAATGAAAACAGTAATTGAGAACAAAAAAGTAATTGAAAAAAATCTCTCAATCTTTTATTTTGATCCAACTGTCTTTTCTCACCCTTTGTTTATAATGTCTACCTCAGCCTACATTTTTAAAACAACCTAATATACTTTAGGAGGGTAGCAGTAGCAGAAATCATAATGAAGGCAGCTCTCTGCAACATGTTCAGCAACGTCCTCTAACATAGCAGTTGCCATTCGGTGTGTATGGCTAATGGATCTGGGTAAAAGTACTTTTGTTGATTACTTAAAACCCCAACTTACTTCTAACACTGGAACTTGACCCAAGACAAAAATAACTTCCTTCTAGACTCTAAGGTGATTTTTCAAACTAAAAGAAGTACTAACCAAAATAACCACCTATTTACTCTATACTCATCTTTCTTCTCCTGATAGACAATTTTCATTGAAGGCTTCTCAATTTCAGAAATTTACTGAATACCCATTTATCATCTTAATTATACATGCACTTTCAGGTTTCACAGAATTGTTTTTTCAACTCATGAACTTAGAATACCTGCTCAAATACTGATATCACTACTGAAAGTTAAAACTGGTTTCATGTTCTTATCAATATTATGCAACCACAGTAGCCTTTTAAATATATTTCCTTGCACTCATCTATTCACTAGAAACCTGATCTAGCTCAGCAGCTGATTGCATATCCTGGCTACTTGCTTTGTATGTTCACAGGTTGGTGGGCAATCTAGAAAAACTCTAGTAGAGAAGCATCTCTGCAAGAGTGACAGATTATGTTCCATAATGGTTATCACTATAGCTGGTTTAAGTGTGCCTGGCATGAAAAAAACCTGCAGAATTCCTATATTCCTCTGTAAGCGCTATAATTCTAATTAATCAGAAATCAAAAGTTTAATTTTTCATGTGAAAGTGAGTCGCTCAGTCATGTCCAACTCTTTGCAACTCCATGGACTATACAGTCCATGGAATTCTCCAGCCCAGAAAACTGGAGTAGGTGTTCCCTTCTCCAGGGGATCTTCCCAACCCAGGGATGGAACCCAGCATTGCAGGTGATTCTTTACCAGCTGAGCCACAAGGGAAGCCCTGGTGATGAAAGAGAAAAACCTACAACCAAGAGCTTACTCTACACAGAAGGATCTCATTCAGATTCAACAGAGAAATCAAAAGCTTTACAGACAAGCAAATGCTAAGAGAATTCAGTTGATACAAATGAACTTATTTATAAAACAGATTTCAAAAATCACACTTATGGCTACCAAAGGGGAAATGTAGGGGAAGTAATAACTTAGGAGACTGGGGTTAACATTTACACACTACTATAAATAAAACAGATAACTACCAAGGACCTACTGTATAGCACGGGGAACTCTACTCCCCAGGTGGCGTTAGTGGTAAAGAATCAACCTGCCAATGCAGAAGGTATGAGAGATGAAGGTTCCATCCCTGGGTCAGGAAGATCCTGGAGGAGGCCATGGCAACCCACGCCAGTATTCTTGCCTGGAGAATCCCAGGGACAGAGAAGCCTAGCAGGCTACAGTCCACAGGGTCACAAAGAGTCAGACATGGCTAAAGTGACTTCACAACACACAAATAGAAGACAGATAACTAACAAGAACCTACTGTCTAGCACAAGGAACTCTACTCAATATTCTGTAGTAACCGACATGGGAAAAAAAATCTGAAAACTAATGGATATACACATGTATGTGTAATTAAATCATTTAGCAGTATACCTAAAACACATTTAAACCAACTATATTTCAATAAAAATCTTTTAAAGAAGACATTCTAATCTTACAACTTTAAAATATCAAAGGGAATTTCAGTCCTCCAACATTTCTATTCTCTTTCCATCTAATTTCACAAAAGCTGATTTTATTCTCTTTGGTATCTTAACTTTTTAAAGCACAGTAACACAATAAAATTTTGTGGTTTGATATATGATTGAAATCCCAATTTACTTCAGAGGACAAAGTTAATGTTCTATAATTAAAAAAAAAAAAACCAGTTAAGATGCAGACAAAGCATATAAAAAAAGACTTACAAGATTCTGAGCAATCCTCAGAGTTTCTGGAGCAATACATCTGGATGAAATTTTATTGAGTGGAATTATAGTATATCGACGCTTCAACTCCCCCTTTTCTAGTAGCTTTTTTCCAGTAACCTAAAACATTGTGGATTAGAAATGAAAAAAATATTAATAACAAAAAACATTTAAATGGAAACAGTACAAGTTTAGGAATTTACAAATATGCTCAGTGCCTACTATCCTGAACAATCAAAATTCTAAGACGGATATATGCATTCTGGACTCTGCAGTTAGCATACAACTCCCTCTGGAAAAATGTTAATAAAATATAATATAATCAATAGCATAATAAAAAAGTTATTAACTCTATCATTTTACCCTGTAAAGATAAACATTTAGCCTTAAGTGAAAGTTGCTCAGTCAGGTCCAACTCTTTGCGACTCCATGGACTGTATAGTTCATGGAATTCTCCAGGCCAGAACACTGGAGTGGGTAGCCGTTCCCTTCTCCAGGGGATCTTCCCACCCCAGGGATCAAACCCAGGTCTCCCACACTGCAGGCGGATTCTTTACCAGCTGAGCCATCCATCAGGGAAGCCCAGCATTTGCCTTAGAAGAAGTTTAAAACGTCAAGGAAGTACCCAATTCTTCTAAGAGCACATGACTTTTCAAGCTAGCAGCTATTATAGTTTTAAGAGCAATTATGTTTCCTTTAATTAAAATCAGTTTACCTCTGTGTCTACTACAACATTGTACAGTCGGTCCCCAGCCACTAATTCTAAAGCAGTGGTTGCAGAAGTATCTTTGACACTGATCAGTGAAGCTACAAGTCCTTTCACACAATTTCTATTCCAGTTCTTCTCTGGATCCCTAAAATGGAAAAGTGGACAAAAATTAATCTTAGACAAGAAAATAGAAAAGGTTGTATTTTACTAGTCAAGAGCTCTTTCTGATGATACATTAAAGTGAAAGCACAATAATCAGTAGTTTTAACAAAATTAAAAATTTTCAAATGTCTCATGACTGTCCAGCTACAGACACACCTTTTATTGTGTTTCACAAATATTGATGTTTTCCGTTGTCATTTTGATTTTTACAAATTGAAGTTCTGTGGCAAACTTGCCTTGTCAGCTGATAGCCTTTTTAGTAATAAAGCTTTTATAAATTAATGTACCCTGGTTTTTAAAAATATGTATAAAATATGTTATTGTACCATTAATAGACTATTGTTTTAAAATCAAAAGATCTTTCAGTATACATAATGTTTTCAAGGTAACAAAAGTAACTTTGATGTTCTAATCTTTGTAATACATATATTAAGTATTCCAAGAAAAAAGCCAGATAGCATTAATAAAACAAGTTGTAAAATGTTAACATAGCTACTTAACATTAATGATAAAATAAAGAAACTTTTGGACTAATTCCCCTCATTTTGGTCTTGAGATTAGTGGCATTAGTAGCCTTAAATTTCACAAGAATTTCCCGTCTACAAATCTGAAACATTCAATAAAGATTTAAGGAAAAAAAGAAAAACCAATTAAGGAAAAGCAGTTTATAGTAACTTTTATACAAAAATATATCCTAGTTACTACCATGTTCAAATTCAAGATTTAACTCTTACCTATAGGCAAACCGCAGATTGGGAAATCTGGCCAAGAGAGCTTCATCCGTTTCTTTCAATCTACTGATATCACGAGATAGCTGCCTGTGCCTTTCCAGAAGGCTTTCCTCCTTGTTTTCTGAACAGTAAGCCATAAGTAAATTGAAACCAAGCTTTAGAAACTCAAATATTCTACTGTTTTAAGGAAAATATTAGTAATCTCTATTTCCAAAGCATTTCTAAAAGCAAAATGCAAATCTGATAAATATTAAAGAAAAGCATACTTAACATTTGAATTTCTGTTGTGTCAAGCAGACATATTTTCAACACATAAAATCATTTTCATGCCAAGAAACATATGAATTGGACACCTAACTAATGTAGAAATATATAAATAACATTTCTGAGTTTTCAAGTAGCACTTCAGAGTGATTAATACTCAGTACTGAGGAAGGAGTAGGAAATGCTCAATACAGAGGTTTCAAAAATTCAAAGGATTGTTTTATACTTCAATATTTTTCTGATTATAATTTCTATACTAATTCCCATTAACATTAATGATAAAAAAATTTCCTACTTGCTATTTAAGTTTCTATTAATAATCACTACTTCCTAATAATTTAACATCATGTCTTTAAAGGCATACCTTCATAATTTAGCCTTTTCATTTCAGTTTCAAGTTTCTCTTTAAGTTTTTTCACAGCTTCTAATGCTTCTTGATCTTTCCTATAGCCACTATCCATCTTCTTAATTTCTGTTTGTTTAGTCTTTAATTCTTGCTGGGCATGTTTCAACTTCATCTGAGCCTGTAACAGAAAAACATATAATGGCCTATGAGGCAGATAGTGCTAGAGATAAAGTGGCCACAGATTTAGATTGTTTTAAGAGACATCAGCCTTGAAAATTTAACTGACTACTTGGATCAGTATATCAACAGGTCAATCATTTCCCAATGTATTCTTCTCAAAATACTACTCAGAACATAAATGAATATATGCTCAAATCATTAAATATCTTATAATTTAAGTCTATATTTTTAATATTTATAAAACTAACATCAATGAGCTCAAGGATATCAAAGAATTGTCATTAGCTGATCAAATTGAAAATAGAAAGCTAGAAATCACTTCCTTCTTTTTCACTTAGGTGTGCTTATTTGCACTTATATATATTTATGCTGTCCAACTGTGCATCTAATTGTACTGATGAGGAATAAAAGTATATAGGAAAGGGATGCTAAATTGACAGAAAAATTTATATGCTGTAAGCTTGACACTGAAATGCTATAGTTTATGTAAGTGAGCACTATTCCTTAAAACCATGAACCAGTATTCTAAAATCTAAATGAGTGTATCCTTCCTTTAAAATGGAATAATGTTGGATTGTTCCCAATGTAAAATAGGTTAACAAAAAAGCTGAAAGGACTTTAAAGTTTTTCTGTTGATTTACAAATTTTTTGCAACCATCACCTTTGAATGAAAAAGTTGCAAATATATGATTGAAACCTTGAACAGGATTAATACATTTTTAATGTACATATATTTTTATAAATGATGAGTCCTGCATATACTTTTAAAGATGAGTTTTCATTAAAAAATAGAAGAATGCATGTGTGTATACATTTTTTTCCTTCTGCCATCAAAACTGCTGTGTTCACAGGACTTCCAAGCTGCACAACTAACTAAACAAATCTGAAAACCATTTTAATAGATGGAAAAGCTGTTGAAGATTATGAAATCAGAGTAGGGAAACCAAAGACTGAAATGGGGATAAAAGGGAGGTAGAGATATCAACACTTCCAACGAGAACATTACAAAATTTCAGACACAAAAATTAAAAAAAACTAAGTGTGGAGGCATATAAATGAAGATGATGCTTTTGTTTTCTTTTTTTTTTCAACTGCCCTGTGCATATTTTATTTTTCCATTTATTTTTATTAGTTGGAGGCTAATTACTTTACAATATTGTAGTGGTTTTTGTTTTCCTATTAAAGCTTAAAACTTCAACTTTATAATGTCAATAAAATACCAAAAAGATGAAAACAAATACACTCTTAAGTATTCCATACAATGCTGAAAACAGAACAGAGCATTTATTGCACTTAAAATTTCAATTAATCTATAAAGGTATTTTATGCCTTATGGCATCTTATACTGACATTGTCAATAGGTAGCAATCAATATAGTTGAATTTCATTGTTTTAGGTGCTATAAGGAGCAGCAGAATGTAATAAACAAGTTCCATGATAGTTATCTGAGTATTTTCAACATTTTGTTTAACAACTGCCAAAGCATAGTGTGAAGGAGCTTCACAAAAAAATAAAAATAATAATAAATAAAAACTGCAATCACATAGTTCTTACTGTCTATACTTACCTGTTTGGCTTCTGTCTGAGTTTTACTTATGTCATTTTTACAGGCCATCATCTGACCAGCAAGAGTTGCTTCTGCTCCGTCTTCACTGCTGGACAGACCAGCGGAAACGGCATTAAAGTGCTGCTGTGCAGTGGCCAAAGCTTCAGCGTCTCTATTACTTGCTTCTTGAAGGGCACTTAGTCCATCTGTTATTTTTTTAACCTCTTTTTCCTTTGCTGCTAAAGTTTTAGAATCCTTTAAAAGAGTTTGAAATTGGAAAGCATTATATTTTAGAAAACCACTGAAACACATATACATTTAATGTCATCAAATTTCATACAAATTTGAACATGGTAATTTAACCATAATTTTAAATATTTTATTCCCATGTTGAAATTTCTCAGTTTTTAGGATAAATGTACCTCTTATTCTAATAGAAATACCTTCATTCCATGTTGTAGTCAAATCTGAGAGAGAATGAGTTAAAATATTATTGCAAATTTAAACAAACCACTTGAAACAACTAAAAATCAGGTTCTAAAACTATAATATTGAAATAATATCCACTCTACCCCAAGCATAAAAGATATTTCAGGATTAAGAGCATGTATATGAAAATGCTTTAATGAACTATTAAAGGCCATAAAGTATTAAATTATTATGGGAACAGCTTCCCTGGTGGTTCATAGAGTAAGTAAAGAATCTGCCTGCAATGCAGGAGACCCCAGTTCAATCCCTGGGTCAGGAAGAGCCTCTGGAGAAGGGAATGGTCACCCACTCCAGTCTTCTTGCCTGTAGAATTCCACGGACAGAAGAGCCTAGCAGGCTACAGTCAATCGGATCACAAAGAGCTGGAACAACTGAAAGACTAACATTCTCACTTAAATTCTAATAACCAGATATCTAATGCTGTAAAGATACCAGCACTAAAAGAAAAAAAGAAATCTAGTTGTATTTACATCAAAGTGATCAGAAATCTGGCTCACTTAATTCATGATTCACTGGGTATTTATTAGATATTTACCATGTACCAGGCATTATTAAAGACATTAAAGACACAGGGTCCTCAGTGAGCCTACATTTCTAAGGTAGAAGACATAGTAAACAAATAAAACAAAAAATGATGGAACTACTGTTTTAAGAATGATGAAGAAAGGTCTTTTTGTGATGACATTTTGAGCAGAAATCTAAATGAAACAAAAGGTGTGACCATGCTAATACTAGGGAGATGGTACACTTGCCAAGCTCTGAGGAATATGCTTGGGTATTGGAAGAACTGTGGCTGGAGCACAGTAAGCAAGTAAAAAAAAGGCAGCTAATGAGGATACTACTGAGTACTACTGAGTTCCTGGGAGGTGATGGTATGAACCACGTGAGGAGTGAAAGAGGTGTGAAAGGTGGCTGTATTCTGGATATACATATATATCTGGATATTCTGGATATATTTTTAAAATCAACAAAATCTGTCAATGAATTAGACACCACAGGGTTGGGAGAAAGCGGAAAATTCAGGAGGACTCCAGGTTCTGCAGTGAACAGCATCATTACTTGCATGAGGAAAATTCAGTAGCTCAGGCAGGTTTGGGTAGGTGAGGAAACTTTAAGAGTTCTATTTTGGATATGCTAAGTTTTAGATTTTTTAAAATCATCCATATAAAAATGTCAATTAAATAGCTGGACAAATGAATCCTTCAAAGAAGGAGTCAAGGTTAAGTACAGGTTTGAAAGGCATCAACATGTAGATGGTATTTAGGGGTACAGAGCTGGATGGGATCACTGAAGAAATGAGTATATATAAAGAAGTCTGACCACCAGCCCTGGTGCATGCTAAAATACGTATTTTGATTTGCATTTCTAACTTGGATTCAAAGTTCGTATTTTCAACTATCAAATCAATATCTCTACTTAGATGTCTAACTAGCTCTCAAGCCTATTATTCTCCATTCAACAAATGGTAACCATATTTCAAACTGTCAACAACTGAACTCTGGAGTTATCCTTCAGTCCTCTTTCATATTCAAACACCAATCTGCTGGGCACTATTTATAATAGCAAAGACATGGGGGAAACTTAAGTGTCGATTGACAGATGAACTGATAAAGAAGATGTTACACACACACTGAATATTACTCAGACATTAAAAAGAATGAAAAGTTGCCACTGGACCAATGGATACCAAGGAATGGACCTACAGGTTATCATACTGAGTGAAGTCAGTCACAAAGAGAAAGACAAACATCATGGCATCACTTGTATGTGGGATCTAAAATATGATACAAATGAACTTATCTACAAAATAGAAAGACAGACACAGAGAACAGACCTGTTGCCGAGGGGAAGAGTGGGAAGGGGTGGGAAGGGCTGGGAGTCTGGGATTAGCAGGTACACACTGTTACGTATGGGATAGATAAACAAAAAGGTCTTACTGTGTAACGAAGGGAACTACATTCAATATCCTGTGATAAACCATAATGGAAAAGAAAATAAAAAAAACAAAATACATGTATAACTGAGTCACTTTGCTGCACAGCAGAAAACAACATTCTAAACCAACGAACTATACTTCAATGAGAAAAAAAATCTGCTGGGTATATCTGTTGGACCTACCCTTAAAGTACACATAAAATCCCACAACTTCTCTAATATTCCACCTTCTATCTATCCAAGGACTATCACCTGCACTACCACTACCCGGTTTCTCTACTTCTGCCCTTTATTTTTAATTTATCCTCAAAACAGCAAGAACAGTACTACTAAAATATTAAAATGTCACACTTGTGCTCAACCAACTCCAGCAGCTTCCATGCCACTCAGAATAAAGAGCAGTCCTTCACATATTTTGCAAAACCACATGTGATCCTACACCCCATCTCTACTACTCAGTGGTAACCAGCCTTACTTCTCTCTGCTTTTCCAATACCCGAGGCACTTGGGGCAACTGCTGTTCTTTTGTCTGGAACATCTTCCCCCACAGCCTCCCAATCCATCTATGTCATTCTCTGACCACCATCAGGTCTCTAATGAAATAGAGGCCTCCCAATGAGACCTTTAATGTCTACCCAATTTAAAATTCCAAATTGTACCTCTCTGCCCAATACTAAGCCTATCCACTGCTTTTTTTCTCCTCATCAGTCACCACTGTATAACATACTACATATTTCACTTATTTTCTTTATCATCGTTTTCCTCATTGGAATGAAGACCCACGAGGCATTTTGTTCATTATTGTCATTTTGTTAGTTGCTACATCCTAGCCTAAACAATTACCCTGGGTCTACAGCAGGCATTCAATAAATATTAACAGAATGGAGAAATGTGTATTACTAGAATTAAATTACACTTTTTATTTGCTTACCTCTGCCATATTTTTCTCCAGTTCTTTCCGTTTGTTCTCTTCACTTGCCAGATTCTTCTTCTTGAAATCAAAGGCACTTTGAGATTTAGTATTAACTCGCTGAGCTTCTGTAAGAGCATCTTCTAAGGATCGAAGTATACCTCCAACTTCCTATAATCAAATGCACCAATTCAATCATGTACTTAAAAATTTGTTAGTGTATAATTTATATACATTTATTTTTAATAAACTATGGACTCTACCCATGGACATCACCAGACAATCAATACTGAAGCAGATTGATTATATTCTTTGCAGCCAAAGACGGAAAGATCTATACAGTCAGCAAAAACAAGATCAGGAGCTGACTGTGGCTCAGATCATGAACTCCTGATTGTTAAATTCAGACCTAAATTGAAGAAAGTAGGGAAAACCACTAGACCATTCAGGTATGACCTAAATCAAGTCCCTTATGATTATACAGTGGAAGTGAGAAAGAATCAAAGGATTAGATCTGATGGACAAGAGTGCCTGAAGAACTATGGATGGAGGTTCATGACACTGTACAGGAGGCAGGGATCGATACCATCCCTAAGAAATGCAAAAAGGCACAAAAGTTGTCTGAGGAGGCATTACAAATAGCTGTGAAAAGAAAGAGAAGCGAAAGGCAAAGGAGAAATGAAAGATATACTCATTTGAATGCAGAGTTCCAAATAGCAAGGAGAAATAAGAAAGCCTTCCTCAGTGATCAATGCAAAGAAATAGAAGAAAACAAAAGAATGGGAAAGACTAGAGATCTCTTCAAGAAAATTAGAGATACCAAGGAAATTTTCATGCAAAGATGGGCACAATAAAGCACAGAAATGGTATGGACCTAACAGAAGCAGAAGATGTTAAGAGGTGGAAAGAATACACAGAACAACTATACAAAAAAGATCTTTAAGACCCAGATAATCATGATGGTGTGATCATTCACCTAGAGCCAGACATCCTAGAATCCAAAGTCAAGTGGGCCTTAGTAAGCATCAATACAAGCAAAGCTAGTGGAGGTGATGGAATTACAGTTGAGCTATTTCAAATCCTAAAAGATGATGCTGTGAAAGTGCTGCACTGAATATGCCAACAAGTTTGGAAAGCTCAGCAGTGGCCACAGGACTGGAAAGGTCAATTTTCATTCCAATCCCAAAGAAAGGCAATGCCAAAGAATGCTCAAACTACGGCACAACTGTACTCATCTCACACGCTAGTAAAGGAATGCTCAAAATTCTCCAAGCCAGGCTTCAACAGTACATGAACTGTGAACTTCCCGATGTTCAAGATGGATTTAGAAAAGGCAGAGGAACCAAAGATCAAATTGCCAACATCCACTGGATCATCAAAAAAGCAAGAGTTCCAGAAAAATATCTATTTCTGCTTTATTGACTATGCCAAAGTCTTTGACCGCGGATCACAATGAACTGTGGAAAATTCTGAGAGTTGGGAATACCAGACGACCTGACCTGCCTCTTGAGAAATCTCTATGCAGGTCAAGAAGCAACAGTTAGAACAGGTCATGGAACAATAGACTGGTTCCAAATAGGAAAAGGAGTACATCAAGGCTGTATATTGTCATCCTGCTTATTTAACTTATATGCAGAGTACATCATGAGAAATGCTGGGCTGGAGGAAGCACAAGCTGGAATCAAAATTGCTGGGAGAAATATCAGTAACATCAGATATGCAGGTGACACAATCCTTATGGCAGAAAGTGAAGAAGAACTAAAGAGCCTCTTGATGAAAGTGAAAGAGGAGAGTGAAAAAGTTGGCTTAAACCTCAACATTCAAAAACTAAGATCATGGCAATTGGTCCCATCACTTCACAGCAAACAGACGGGGAAACAAGTGGCTGACTTTATTCTTTTGGGCTCCAAAATCACTGCAGATGGTGACTGCAGCCATGAAATTAAAAGATGCTTGCTCCTTGGAAGGAAAGTTATGACCAAACTAGATAGCATATTAAAAAGCAGAGACATTACTTTGCCAATAAAGGTCAGTCTAGTCAAAGCAATGGTTTTTCCAGGAGTCATGTATGGATATGCGAGTTGGACTATAAATAAAGCTGAGCACCAAAGAATTGATGCTTTTGAACTGTGGTGTTGGAGAACTCTTAAGAGTCCCTTGGACTGCAAGGAGATCCAACTAGTCCATCCTAAAGGAATTCAGTCCTGAATATTCACTGGAAGGACTGATGCTGAAACTCCAATACTTTGGCCACCTGATGCGAAGAACTGACTCATTTGAAAAGACCCTGACGCTAAGAAAGACTGAAGGCAAGAGGAGAAGGGAACGACAGAGTATGAGATGGTTGGATGGCATCACCAACTTGATAGACATGAATCTGAGTAAACTCCAGGTGTTGGTGATGGACAGTGAGGCCTGGTATGCTGCAGTCCATGGTTTCGCAGAGAGTCGGACACAGCTGAGCAACTGAGCTGAAACTATATTATTATCATACTTTACGATAAATTTTTTTCGACAGAGAACATAATGCCCAGTAAATCCAAAATAGTTACATTATTTAATATTTTTCAGTGTATTATTATTCTTACACATGTCTGACCTTATCTTTTCTTTTTTCCAACTCTTCTATTTCATGACTAAGTGCTTTTATTTTTTTATCATTCTCAGACACTTCTTCTTGAAGCTTCATAATTTTATCCTGCATTTCTTTTAATGCCTCAGCTGAGCGTTCTTTAGTATCTTCAGCCAGCAAAAACTGATAAGCTATATATAAACGACTCAGATGTTCTATTTCTCTCAATAGCTTTTGGTACTCCAAGTAGGAAGATCTTTCCTAAAAGAGAAATCACCAATTAAGTGTAACTCTACATTAATATTTTTAAACAAATTTGGAAAGAATTTAAATACAACAACACATAAAGTTTCCCATTACAAAATAAATATAACGGATTTTGTCTAAAACTTGAGTAATTATGGACTATTAATTTTAGGAAACTTCAAACAACATTAGAACTATGGCTTTTTTGATAGTATAATGTCATCTTTAGTGAATTCTTTGTGGCTATTTCTTCTCAAATATAACCACACAGTTGGGATTATATAACCACAGTTGGGATTAACAAAGAAATATGGACATAAGATTCATAGACTGGTGGGAATTAAGTCTATAAAACTATGAATGATACACTATTAAATGGATATTGTAGTACTATTACCAAGATGCCCACCCTACATTCATTCATGTAACTATATGTATAAATATTTGCTCACATATTACTAAACTTGATTCCCATTGGGACCTACTAGAACAAAGTTAACAATGAAAATTCCTAATCTGCAGATGAAGAAACAAATTCAAGGTGATTAAATGAGCTCTTCATGTTATTAGATATAGAATTTGGCAAAATCAAATATGACACCTAAGTTTAAACTCATGATCTCGTGTTTTTGTACTAAATCATACATACAAAAGGCAGAACCTTCAAGTTCACAATTTTTCAGTTTTTCCAACTACATCGATGCTACTGTATGGATCAGAAGAGAGCTTGAGAACTATCAAATTTTAATGAACATTTAAGAAATTTCTAAATACATGATTTAAAATACTTTCACTGAAACAGTGATATGATGTCAGAAGTGCAAAGATTATAGAGAAAACAGCCATCTGTTTCAATACCTATTGTCTACTAACTGCCTTGACAGCAGTAATTGCAGTGATAGCCCCTCTTACCCTAGAAGTTACTCACTCTACCAAGAGCTTCTAAGAGTGCCATATTTTTAAGAAGTATTTATTCCACTCAATTCTAACTATCCAGGAAAATTTAGATTTACACTTGTCTTCAACAAAGAATGAAAATCTGGCATGCTGTTTTCTGAGATTATGACAGTCAATCTCTAAAACCATTATAACTTAACAGGTATGAAGCGTACTGTCCTCTATAAGCAGAAGGTTGAGCGTAGACTGTCAACTCTAACTCCTTATCTCATCTCCAAGAAACATTTCTGAGGAGTGGTACATGTGTCACCCCCATGTGTATCATCATGGATGCATCACCAATTTTGAGAGACATTCTAGCTGGCTGTCCTCACATATATAGTACACACCTCTTTTAATTTTTGAATGGTTGGAGTAATTTCTTCTTCAAGTATCTGGAAAATAAAGGAAAAACTATTTTTGAGTATGTGAAGTATCATTAAAGAAATTTAAAAGGGAGAAGACTAAGGAAAACTGAACAAAGGCTGGGGAGAGGACAGGTGTGGTAAAATTTCCCTCTTTACAGCAGAGAAACTCTAAAACAAAAGTACTTGCTTCCCTAAAAATATTTTATATAAATTTAATTACCGTCTTAATTTCTCTCAGCTTAGCCTCCTTTTTTTCTATAGTCCTCTGAGCATTTTGTTTTTTGTATTCATACATCCTGGTTCCAGCTGCTTCTTCTATCATGGACAAAATCTGGAAAGATGATTGCATTAATGTTTTAAGAATCAAAGCCAGTGAGTCTCATTGGAATTTACATTAGGATATTACTTAAGGCCTTAACTTCATGAAGCATCTTAACAAAATAGTAAAGGACCATAATAGTTAAGTACATGGGAAAAATGTACATATTATCTATAACCCTAAGATTCAACAAACATTTCTGGACTTCACTCCAATTCTAAAATCAAACTTTATGCTACACTGAGGTTCCAGAGTACCTATCATTGAAAACTGAAGCCAGTAATTCTTTCTTTCTCTTTTCCTTCAAATATAAGAAGAAAGTAAAAGCTAACCAATATTTCATTTTATAAATTTCTGCTTAAAACTGTTCCAAGTGGGACTTCAGCTGTTTTGTTCCTCCAAGGACGAAGCACGGCCTAACATTTACATTCCAACTGTGGCATATAGTTTTAGAACTTGGGCAAGTAATTTCATTTTCCCTGTTCCTCTCTTTCTTCACCTGCTGAGGACTAAAAGTATCTCGGTGTCATTGAGAAGTAAAGTAATTCATGTGAGAGGTACACTGAAAAAGGCAAATACTAATTATAATTTCATAAGGACAATTTTTTAGCACTCCTTTATCAGAAGCTTCTAATTACTATCAATCCCTATCTCAAGAGGGTTATTTCTCTGAAAACCAGTTTGATTTCTATATATTGGGCAGATTTTGAATGAGAAGTTTTCCCTTAAGATGTTACCTGAAGAAAGTAAGTGTGACCTACGGTTAAACCAGACCAGTATCTTCAGTCAGTCATCTTTTTAGTTCTTCTGCATAGATAAACATACCAAGAGAGCCTTTGCTCTTATACAAAACATTTATCCCTTCATACCAGCTCTTCTCAAGGGGGCTCCAAAACAAAATTAAGTCTTAATGTCTTAAGCAATCCATTGGATCTAGTGAATTAATTTCACTCAAATCTCTTCCTATAGGGTTTAACGATGACATGGAACACCAGCTGAGAAAAGCTACTTTAGAACCAAAATTTCTTTTAATACTGTAAGGGCACATAAACCTCCTAGAAAAAAAGTAACTGGTAAGCTCCCAACGCCTGTGTTAGTGATGATTTTTTTTTTTTTTTTTGGATTTGATACCAAAAGCAAAGGCACTAAAACCAAAAATAAACAAGCAAGACTCCATCAAACTAAAAAGCTCATGCACAGGAAAGGAAACCATCCAAAAATACAAATCAGGCAAATACAAATAAAAACCACAATGAGACATCACCAGTTAGAATGGCTTTTATTAAAAAGACAAAAAATAACAAAGACTGGTGAGGATGTGGAGAAAAGGGAAAACATGTGTACTGTTTGTGGGACTATAAACTGGTGTATCCATTATGGAAAACAGCATGGAGGTTCCTCAAAAAATTAAAAATAACTACTAAACGATCCAATAATTCCACTTCAGGTCATTTATCTGAAGGAACAAAAGACACTAATTTGAAAAGATATCTGCACTTCCATGTACACTGTAACATCATTTGTAACAGTAAAGACATGGAAACAATCCAAGTGTCCACTGATGGATGAATGGATAAAGAATATAATATACATATAAATTAAATAGAATGTTATTTACACATACAAAAAGGAAATCCTGCCACTTGCAACAGCATGGATAGAACACAAGGGAAATAAGTCTGACAGAAAGATAATACAGTATAATTTCACTTACATGTAGGCTCTTTCCCAAAAAAAACCCCAAAACTGAACTCACAGATACAAAAAGCAGATTGTTGGCTGACAGAGGTGGGGGATAGGTGGTGAGCAAAAGTTAAAGCGCCAGTTATAAAATAAAAGGTCCTGGGGATGTAATGTACGGCATGGTGACTATAGTTGATGATACTTAACTGCATATTTGAAAACTGCAGAGAGTATAATTTAAAACTTCTCATCTTCAAAAAAATTCTGAAAGATGTGATATACAGTGATCAATGCTGACTAAACTGTGGTGATCATTTTGTGATATACACATATACTGAATATTGTATATGTATCAAACCTTTTTGGTGTACACCTGAAACTACTTTATCAATTATATCTCAATTAAAAAAATAACTTTAAAAAAACTGTTTAACTAGGTCCTAGGACTTTCCTTTTACTTCTTTTAAAGATTCTGATTTAATCCTCAGAACAGATCTTGAGGTAAAGGTTACAGACTCCAGTTTATGGATGAGGAAACTAAGGCTCTGAAAGTTTACATTATATCACTTAAAAAAAAACTAGGGCATGGTGTCAAATATTAAAAAACAAAATTATTTTCTCCACTAGTCACTCTTAAATAAACATTACCAAGAATTTTAATAATGGAAAAATTATGTTTAAAAATTTATTACCTAAAAGATTAAGACAATATCTACAATGACCATCTTTACTGTGCTTAAAGAGTGCTCTTACCTCTGGAGGTTTCATATTCATCACTTTTGTAATTCTGCCCTGAAAATAAAATGACAAACTTACTGCAATAACGGTAAATTCAGAAAGAATAACCTAAATGCATTCTTGTTTATCTGTACTAAAGCTGTTATATCCTAATATACCAATCTTTGGGCAGTTATTTCTCCCACCTACATGAAAAGGTGTTTCTTTTTTAAGATTTGAGAACAAGGGTAGCTTATAATTCTAGAATTTTGCTACTTACTTTCTTACCAGTGATATGAATTACATAAATAATACAAAGTTAACTCAAGACTGTATTTCTGAGACAGGTAATGATGTAGAAGTCTGCAACTCTAAAATGGGTAAGCATGTAAATAAATGTTGGCATAATTATTGAACATCTCTTGATTTTTTAGAATAGCCCTTCAAGATAAGTCAAAGAAACTTAACTCCAGATAGTCTTTAAAATTCAAATGTATGCAATATACTAGAACACGTGAGTACAAACAACTAACCCACATTTATTAACAGATGTCCAAACATCAGCCTAAAAACAAATTAAAAAATGAAATATCGAAACAGAAGTATTTCTCCTGTAAGTTAAAAAAAGATGCCAAAACTATTATGAAAGAGATATAAAGTCCACAAACAAAATACCTGCATGATGAGAAAGTGAGGGTTGTTAACATTAAGACCAACAGAACAGAAGAGATCGTATACTCTGGTATTGTTTGCATTTACTCCATTGATTAAATATTTATTTCTGCCACCAATAACTACCTGCAAAGGAAAGAATTTTAAAAGACATAAATGAACACATGTATCTTGAGCTAAGATGATAAATTCCCAAATACATCTTTTATTTGTTTTTTTCCAACTAATGATAAATAAAATGAATCTAGGGTAAATAGTGAAGAAAGTATAATGTGGTCAAAAACAACGTGAGACCAGCTCCTAATCTAGGACCTCCTAGCCTCCCACGCGCAACTAGGTCTTTAAGGTGCTCTCGACCTTCCTGTTTCCGAGGGTGTACAGAATGGAGCTTCTATCCCTGACCACCCTCTTCTACTACTTTCCATACTCAAAGGCTGACCCATCTTCCTCCACTTTTTGATTTCCAAAGGAGTCAAATACTAAAAATGAAAGACACAGTTTTAGTAACAATCCTTGTCAAGACTCTAAAACTAGTAAAAGACAAGACCTGTGAATATTTGAAAGAAAAAGAATAATCATGGAACTGCAGCACGGGTTTAACAAGAACAACTTACACTGGACAGCAGCTTGTTCAGTCTACCACAGCATGTACATGTCATTTTGGAGGAATGACTGCCTCACCCATCTGCTGAAGTCCTTAGAGAAAAGACTTGTTTCTCATTCTTTCTATCTGTATTTCCCAGTGCATTTGAGAATGCCCAGCACACATCAAGCACTTAATAAATAGTAAATAAATGACTTCACTTATTTTCCTGACAGTATTAGGGTGGTAGATCATTTATTAATATTTGAACAACAATCCTAATATATCCTAAAGAAGTTCAAGGAAGTCTTTATAACAAAATTCTGGAGAAGACAGAGTCATATGGACCACAAGAGGACAGGAATTTGGATTAGATTAGCAGCAGGTTTTCTTAAAATCCTGAAAGGGTAATTATTTGATAGAGCTTAATGACAGAGAACAGGATTTTGTCCCAATCTAGTCAATCCTTTTTTCTTTTTCCCAACCAGAGTTCTCACTTAAATAGAGACGGAAATCTATAAGCTACATAATGCTAAGATGAAGAGTAAATGAGAATTAACAATTTTTAAAGATAAAACTCGGACAAACTGAAAACACGGTCTGATTATAATAATCTTAAAAAAGATTTTAAGGGGCAAACGTTTAGGTCCTCCATTGGTTTCAAGGACCTACTTAGATGCAGAAATGGTAGTATATGGCTAAGTAATAACATGAACAAGTTAGACTGATTTTAAGTAAATCAGATATGAATTCATAATAAATCATGAACTCTTCAACATCATATTGAGAAAAATAAAACTAGAGTTAAAATGAAAATGAAAGAAGTGACAATTCTGCTTAATACTGTCCCAGCCAGACCAATTCTGGTCCATGCAATTTGAAGTGCCAAGCATTAAAATATGTGTATGTGTGTGCGTGCGTACATAAATACAACTGGAGCAAATTTGCATTCCATGTGATGAGACAAGTGGAAGACCTAGGAACAACTAAATATCAATTGAAAGACCTAGAGAATTTAGCTGAGAAAACAGACTTACAGAAGAACACTGATACATTGAAATAAAGAATAAATTACATGTTCTCTTGGTGCTCTCAAGATAACTAGGATTTATGTGTAAAACTTGAAAACAACACTATGGTATGGCTCAACTTGCAAGAATAACTTGCTAATTTCCAAAAACAGAATGGGTTACCTCAGAAAACAGTGAGATCCCAAGAGCTACAGGTGTGCCAGCACAGAGAGACTCAAGTGCATGGTTTATGGTTTAAATGAGCATGGCTGAGTGCTTGCACAGATGGATTTCACATCCCTTTCAATCCACTTGGTAAATGGTGGAATTTGCTTAAGCAAAACAAGATATTCTTAAGGAATCTTAAGTATTTGATCCATCAGATTGCTCATAAACTTTCCAGTAATTGTATTGCCAAAATGCACCTGAGACATGTAAGTTTTTAGGTAACCAAATATTTAGTAGTCACTCACCTGCCTTGTTACTGTAATTTCATCATGAACCTCAAATCCTAAAGGACTCTGCTTTTTGTCAGAATTATCAAAGGTGATTGACACCAAGGCTTTTGTAATACCAGCTTGCCCATTTTTGTAAACTAAATCTTGTAAGTTAGAAGCCCGAACCTAAAATAAAGGAAAAGTTTATCAGTTACAATACTCAGTACTGCACAAAATAGCACTAAAAATAGCTTTCTTGCTGTTGGAAAACCACCCATGTAGTATCCATTAAGAAGTCAAGAACAGGAAGTGGTATTCATAGGCAAGGAAAGCAAAGAAAATGGGCATCGACCTGAAATGGGTCTCTCTCTCCATAGGACTTTTTAAATCCTGAACTAAACTGTTTTCCACTCATTTCTTAACAAGAGCTCTTTTGAAAAATTTAAGGAAAGACAGTGTCTAAAAATTTCACTATTCATTCAATCCCAATAGTAGATCCCGAAAAGGCATTATAATGAGGGTGGGGGCAGGTGGAAAGGATACAAACCGGAATGAGAATGTGTGAGTTTCAGTGTTGCTTCAAACATCTTAAGATTAACCTTAAGCAACTCCTCTAAGTTTCTACCTTCTCACCTAAAATATGGAGTAGTAATACCTACCTTTAAAGGACTGCAGTGAGGTAGAAGATAATTCACATAAAAATGCAAATGAAGAGAATACTCGTAATACTGGCTCTCTCCAAGTGTAAAGATTCCCTTGAGGTTCCTCAAACTTAAATTCACCTAAGTCAGAAAGTTTACACTTTACCTGAGACAGGTTGGAGATGCCCAGCAAAAAGCAGATGGAGTCCAATATGTTGGATTTTCCACTACCATTTAAACCAGTGATAGCATTGAACAGAGGGTCAAAACCATTGACTTCAGTCCTCTGAGCATAGGATTTGAATCCCTCAAGGATGATTGACTTAATGTGCATTTTAACTACTGACTTGGACAGGTTAATCTCTGCTAGGAATCAAGCCACAAAGCAGTTCTGTACAAAACAGAAAAACAACGCATAAGTGCAATGTAAAACTGGAATCATAATAAACAGACTAAACCATAAGAATGACAGCGCAATAGAAATAAAACAGCCACTTGCAAAGTCACTTCCTCTGATGTAAAGGTATCTTTCTTTAACTTAAAAATATATAAGAATTAGCCTCTATTTAGAAGTTAACTGGGCTTCCCCGGTGGCTCAGCGACAAAGGAATCCTCTTGCAACGCTGGAGCCACGGGAGATGTGGGTTCCATCCCTGGGCTGGGAAGATCCCCTGGAGGAGGGCAGGGCAACCCACTCCAGGATTCTTTCCTGGAGAATCCTCATGGACAGAGGAGCCTGGTAATCTACAATCCATAGGGTCGCAAAGAGTCAAACACGACTGAAGTGACTTAGCACGCACACACGCAGAAATTAATTGAACCTGGAAGCCAACCAGCTACTTCTCCAGGCTCATAATCTTCCACCGTTATTATACTCCAGCTAACACAGATTACTGATCATTTACCATCGCATCCCCTTCGCCCAGAATGCACTTCTCCCGGACACTGACACGGCTCACTCTCCTTTATATCCCTCAAGTCTTTACTCAAACGTCACCTAACTAGGTTCCTTTCCGACTCTCGTATATTAAAAAGTACCCTCTACCCATCCCCTCCCTCTGCTTTCTTTTTCCTTCACGGACTTACAGCTGACACTAATCAGTACTTATTTATTGCTCTACCCAACCTATCATAATGTAATCTTCGGTAGCATCTTCTACATTTACCGTTGTATGCCAGAATACTGCCTAACACGAAGGCGCGGGATGGGCGGGTGGTCTGTAAATATTTCTTAAATATCAGTAGACATACCCCAGATAAATACCCGAAGGCTTTTGCTTTTACTCAGGCTCTTCCCTCGCCCCACCAGGCCTTTCTGTCAACCCTTGCTCGCCCTACTCCAAGGTTGGACAGGAACTGGTCATTCTGCCAGGAATCCCTTTAGGACTAAATTTACTCTGAAATTCCTTGCTACTCTGCTCCCCAGCCCCCGACGCCCATCTCCCGCCAGGAATGCCAGGCTAGGCCCAACCGGCCGCGCGCACGCACCTGCCTCGCCGCTGCGTCAGGTCGCCTGGGCTTGAGGCGCCGCCGAAGCTCTTCCTAATCTCTAGGGCGAAGAGTGCGCCAGTCTTGCCCGGCTTCGGGCGCTAAGAGGCGAACGCCACCAAAGCTGCTCCTACATTTGCCCCGCGCGCGGCACCGGGGCGGAACTATTTTTGCCTTTGAATTTCGGCGCGAGCGCAGGACCCCACCTCCACTACCTATTCCATTGGCTGATGCCTCAGAGATGCCTGACTTAAAGGTTCCATTTTTCTCTTCCATCAAGCAGTTAAAGGGACAAAGAGATAGAAAAGAAGGTCGAGAAGGTAGCGGCTCAGGAAAAGCGGCGGGTCGGACCTGAGGACTAAAGAAGTTGGGGGCAAATGTTGAGCCCGATATCCGGCACACCTCGGGCAGCCCCGCACCTCAGCCTGGGGGCCTCGCGCTCGCAGGCCCCGCCCTGCCGCAGGCCGGGTCTGGCTACAGTCGCGCCCGGGAAGCCCCGCCTCCCCTCAGGCCCGGCGGGACTCAGTGGAGCAGGCCCCCGTGGTCTCCGAGTACCGAATGCAGGATGGCTTCGTGTCGGTCTCCTCGTTCTGCCTCAGAATCCCCCTGGGCTGGGCCAGGGTTCTCTCAATGGAAGCTGCGCCTTGTTGCGGCTGGGGCGGCGCCGGACGAACTTCTGAGGACTGTCGATCGCGTTCTGGCTCCGCCCCTCGCCGGCAGAGAACCCCGGCGGGCTTGGGTTTCCGGTCCCAAAGGGCCGATAAGGCGGTCACCAAAGTTGTGCAGCGCCGGCGGGAGAAGTTGAGTGGGGCTGATAGTAGATGCTGGACGAATAGGAGTTCCCCTCGTTTCTCTGAGAAGCTGTGGAATGATAAGCAATGGCAGAACTAACATTTCAGAGAATTTTAGGGGCAACACAGCTGATATTTATTGATTTCAGGTGCCAGGATGCGTTTCAGGCGCTTTTTAAAATCTTAGCAACCCTATGAAATCCGTGTTATTGTTCTCATTTTACAAATGAGCAAACTGAGCCCCAGGTTAAGCAACTTATTCCAAGTAGTAAGCGGGGAAGCTGAGGTGTGCGTCCACACAGTCTTGCTCTAGAGCTAGTATTTTTACTTCTCTTCATGTACAGTCTCCAGTGCTAGTAATAACAGATGCTGTTATCAGTGTGTGTTTTTCTTAAAAAAAAAAAAAAACAAAAAAAACCAGCCAGTTTACTCACAGTTAAGCATGTTGATACTAATGAATTAGGAAGGACATAGCTTCATAGTGTTCCATGGTGCTTTCCCTAGGTGATGTATAAAAGAGATGATGCGGCCAGCGTGCCCTTTTAGGTTGTATATTTGAAGTTGCTTTCTTGGCCTCGATTGACTTTGCAGTATTGGACGCCAGTCAAGCTACCAAGAATGGGCCATTGATTTGAAAATCTTTTCTACTTGGGAGAATTAAAAGTTTTGTGGGGGTTTTCTGTTTGTATAAGAAAAATTACTTTATTTACTCTTATCTCACCCACTTAGGTAAGTCAGTCGTTACAGGCCTAACATCATTTAGTCAAGCGGTTATCTTTGATATTGATTCTCTTCAGTCTTAAATACATTTCTTTTCAATTATGTTGTCCTCATTTCATCTCTTTGAGAATGAAGAATTTTAATTTGCAAACAGACCCTAATGTGGATTTTATCAGGTTGTGAAATAAATAGTTCTTTGGGGTGAAAATGTGTTAGGACAGAGATTGTTAGCCTTTGCACTATTTTAATAAATTAATAACCAGCTGATATTATTTATGTCAAATGGATAAAAAAATACATGCAAATACACTTTTGCTGTATAAGGACTTCTGGGTAGTTATAAAAATAGACACATCTAACTACTTCCACTAAAAGTAATTATAGTGAAAATTGCCTATAAAAGGAGAGGTCTACAGCAGTTTTAGTCTCAGAGCATATCCGAAGCACTAGCAAATTACAGTTAGTACAGATGAACTTAAGGAAATCTAATGGCTTAGTTAAAACTGGCCTCTGAGGTTGCCATAGAGAAGTGGAGAACACCAAGGCATGAAGCCACTAAAACCCTTCTAATGTGGGGAGATTAGGAATGGAGGTAAAGATAGACTATAGGGTTGTTGTTCAGTTGCTAAATAGTGTCAAACTCTTTGCAGTCCTGTGAACTGCAGCACACCAGCCTTCCTTGTCCTTCCAAACCCAGAGTTTGTTCAAACTCAAGTCCATGGAGTATAGCGTAGATACAGTATAAATAGGGCACTGTTCTCGTTTCATCACCGTGAATCAGAAGCATTTGAGTACTTCCCTATGGTCCATCAGTTAAGAATCTGCCTGTCAATGCAGAGGACACAGGTTTGGTCCCTGGTCCTGGAAGATTCCTCATGCCACAGAGCGACTAATCCCATGCATCACAACTACTGACCCATGTACCGTAACTACTGAAGCCTGTGCACAGTAGACCTTGTGTCGTGCAACAAGAAGCCACCGCAATGAGAAGCCCATGCACTACAACCAGAGGGTAGCCTGCACTCACTGCAACCAGAGAAGGCTAGCATGCAGCAATGAAGACCCAGCACAACGAAAAATAAATTATTTTTTTAAAAAAAGCTTTTGAAAGCTTGAACACTGGTGGGCAGGTGGAGTCTTTGTCCTTACGTAGAAGGCAGTAGTACCAGCGAGGACACTGATAAATAAAACAGGACCTGGAAAAAAGATTTGATCTTCTCTTCCAGGACATTGGGAGGGACCCACTTCCCAAAGCCTCACTTTTCTAATTTTGGAGTCCTACAAAATTCTATGAAACTGAGTGAATCCTCTTTCGCTGGAATTTAGGACAGAAGGAGAAAGAAAAATGAAGGAATTTTACCTTCATTGCAGAAATAAGGGAAGTTTGGTTCATTTTGTTGAGAGATTAATTTCGGTTTCAGAGGGAAGAACTGAAGTTCATATCGCAAAATTGTATTGAGTAGCAGCACATTTTGAATACATCAAATAAAACCAATCTGGCAAACTTGGAAAGAATGCCAGCTGAGCATAATTTAAAATGAGGACTAGAAAAGGAGGTGATTATATTCTTTCATGTAGACACATTTATTTTCATTTCAATGACAATATTGTTTTAAGTGGGCTTCCCAGGTGGTGCTAGTGGTAAAGAGTCCACCCGCCAATGCAGGAGACAGGAGAAATGCCGGTTCAGTCCTTGAGTTGGGAAGATCCTCTGGAGTAGGGGGTGGCAACCCACTCCAGTATTCTCACCTGGAAAATAGCATGGCAGAGGAGCCTGGCATGCTACAGTCCCTGGGGCCACAAAGAGGCAGATGCAGCTGAGCACACTGTTTTCAGTACTACACGTTCTGTTTGGTTCCTTGTGAAATCTGTTTATATTTTCCTTCTGATTTCTATTATTTTGCCTCCTTAGTCAAGTTAAATATCTTTATCCTCTTTTTTAGGTACTTCTACTATTTCAAGCTTTTGAGTTCCTAACTCTGCAACAGTTGCTGACTCTTACTCATAGTGATTTGTTTCCTCCTGTGGTGCTGTTCTTGCATGGGGTTGTTTGGTTTATGGGAGTCTCTTATGCCCCGAGTTGTGAAAGGGTCCCTTCAGAGCACTTACACATTTGTTTCTGCCAGGGTTCTTTGGCTCTTAAAGATCTGGGAACATTTGTAAATGATTGTTTCTCAGCTTGTGGTTCCTGAATTATACAGATATAGTAAATTCATGTCTGTTGCAGGTCTGTGGTTTTAATTTATCATAAGCAGATTTTGTTTTATCCTGCTATCCAAAGCTCCAAACAAAAACCAAACCTTCTTACCTCTTCCAGAGGCTAGTACGTGGCGCTTTTCCAATCACGATGCCTGGCAGATCTTTAAGGCTGCAGGTTTCATATGAGAGCCTGGTTCCAGCTCCTCTGGCTCCCTGAAGCTCAAGGGCTACCGCTTGTGCCTCAGAACCCAGCCGCTGGCTCCTGAGGCCTATGGTTGTTGTTTGGTCTTTCAGTTGTGTCTGACCTTTGAGACCCCATAGATTGTACCCACCAGGCTCCTCTGACCATAGGATTTCCCAGGCAAGAATACTGGAGTGGATTACCATTCCCTTCTCCAAGGGATCTTCCCAACCCAGGGATTGAACCCACACCTCTTGTGTTTCCTGCATTGGAAGATGATTTTTTTACCACTGAGCCACAGCAGAACCACGTGGGGAGCCCCCTGAGCCCGATAGCAAAGTATAAAATAAATGTTGGAGGGCTGCCTGTCAATGCCTGATCTTTACATTTTCAGTTTGTTTCTGGCACTTTGAATTTTCTGGTTTTTTGTTCCTGTGTGTGGTATATGGTTTATATGACAATAGTTACATTTTATCCAGTAGTTCTATGACTTTATGAAGAGAATTTCAGTCAACCAGGTTAGAGAAGGCCCTTCCACGTACTTCTCATGAAGCACATCAGTGATCTTTGTTTTGCTCCTGGTGAACCTTGCTTTCAGATTTTCAATTCTGCATTCAAATGAAATTTTCCTGAAAAAGAGAGAAAGATGTCTGGTATCAGCTTTTAAGAAAATATTTTCATTTACTATTCATAAAATCCAGTCTCTTGGTACTTGTTTCATATTTGTTCTTTCAGTGTTTGTTGTTCTCCTTGGCTTTTATCACTTCCACACTGGTTACCAGCCAAAGCTACTCATATTGCTCTTCTGTTTTGCCACAGCCCTTCCTTTATGGGGAGGATTATTCACTCCCCTTTCTCAAATATCCTTCTCATTTCATCGTTCTCCCTTTCACAGTGGTCCCTTACTACTTTTTACTTCAAGTCCACACACATCTGCTTGACCTTCTTTCAGTTGGTTTCCTTTTATTACCAGCTCAGTTCTTACTAGATGTCACTCTTAGATATTTTCCACAAGATCTGCCTCTTCAGTAATCAGCATTTTCTCTGTTACATTATTCAAATTCCTACTTGAATTTCTACCTCATCAATACTTATTAGCCACCAGTCTCTGCTCTCTCAAAATGTCCTACAAAATATATGTTTCTATATCAGAAATATGACATCTCTTTACTCTGTATAAACTCTTGGTGAAAATTGCCTGTAGAATTAATTCTAACCTCTTTAAGATGGCATGCCTGGCCTTTTGTAATCTCCATCTACTTTCCTAGGACTCATGTCCTGCAGCTTCTTCCTTATATTACCTTGTCATTTGTTGTTCACTACTATAAACCAAGCACAAAATGACAAAAAAAAAAGTGACAACTTTTAAAATGAATAGATGAATTCAATAGGCATTTATAGAATGCCTACCTTATTCTAAGAATCTACTATGTTCTGGAATACAAGATGAATGAGATGTGGGCCTGTCCCCAAGGAATCCATAG